AACTCTGCTCAAATGCCTCCTTCAGCTTCTGCAGATGTCTGACATCAGGTACCTGTGTAAAAATGTCGTCAACATACCTGCAGTATATGGCCGGTTTCAAGTTCATGTCGACTAAGACTTTTTGCTCGATGGTACCCATGTAAAAGTTTGCAAACAGGACACCTAGGGGAGAACCCATGGCGACCCCATCTACTTGCTTATACATGTGCCCATCCGGGCTCAAGAAGGGTGCCTCTTTAGTACAAGCTTGGAGTAGTTTCCTCAGAATACTTTCTGGCATGTCAAGAGGAGTACAGGCTGGATCACGATACACTCTGTCGGCTATCATTCCGATTGTCTCGTCCACAAAATTTTAAAATGAATTTTGGAGAAGTGATTTTTGATTTACCTCCAACAGTGAAGCGTAATGTACGAAAGATTGAGAAAATTCGTGTTAGAATTATTAATCTTACTTTTTCGGTCATATTTAATAATATATATATATATATATATATATATATATATATATATATATATATATATATATATATATATATATATATATATATATATATATATATATACACACAATATTTTGATTTTTTTTTTTGCAAGTGTAGGGACCCATAGCCTCGGAGAAGAAAATAAAGAGTACTCAGAGAAGACCTTGTGGATCCTCACTGAACACTTTTATATTTTCTTCTCCTACCACCCCTATTCTTTTGGTATGTGTGTATATTTATCTAACTTTATTTGAAAATGTCATTACACAAAAAAAGTTACAATATTGATTACATGCAGGGTACAAGGCTGCTTGTCACAAGATGAATAGCTCCTCCAGCTCCTCAGATGGTGGGCAGGAACCATGGATGCAGTGAGCATTTCCTCTCTGGATTGCCATACTAAGGCGCTGAAAAAGAAAACTGGCAGCTCTAGGGTCTCTAGTTGTTTTGATTAGCTTAGACCCCAACTCCTTCAAAAAGCTAGCAGCACTTTTACCCCAGGCACCAAGTGTCTCTGAGGCAATGGGGACAAAATTGTAATGATGCTCAAGGTCTCTGTATTTACGTGACTTGGCCGCTTCCCGGTGATTGGCAGCTCCTCCTGCTTGTGTAGCACTGAAGTCGACATAGGTATTGGCTAAAGTTGAAACGCAAGTGTAGTCCCACACCAACTGTCTACCATTCTTCCAGGGGTTCACCGTGATTCCGTCTGGGCGACTGACAGGCTCATCAGAGTTGCGGGACTTTAGGTAACGGGGCTCTCTCTCTGCTGGACAACCAGCTGTGGTAAGGCTTCTCTTAATAATGTCATTGACCTCACTGTGTCTTGCATGCCATCCTCCTGTCCTTTGGCAGAGAAGGCCATGCCGTCCGTACCTGTCGGCCTCTGCCTCGCTGCAAATACACCTGTATTCGGTGTGGATTGGGGCAGCGATTCGGAGAGGCACGGCAATTCGGAGGGCCTGCGGTGTGAGACGGGTGCGGTTGCTGACATTGGGGTTGCTAATAGGAAATCACCTGCATGGGGAGCTGCTACAGCCCTAAGTCGGGTAGTGTCATGTGGTGTTGTCGCAGCTTCTAGCAAAATCGCCGTTTCCTGGTCGGCAATGGGGCGATCCCAGCTGGATTGCTTATGGGCTTCAGAAGGCGTTGGTTGGGGTGCTGGTCCTGCGAGAGAGACCCATTTAGTTGTGCAGTTTGTGAAGCTGGGATCATGTACCCCTGCCTGTTGAACTAGGTGCTCAGGTCGGATTTCCTTCACCAAGTTGTCAGACCCCACTGAAGAAGACAGGAACGCTGGTACAGCAATTTGTGTTGCTGTGCCAACACCAAGGCCCCCGAGTCTGACAGGAAGGGAGGCCTGTTTCCACTGTGAGTCGCTGAGGGAAAGATTGAGGGCTTTTTCTAGTGTTGATTTCAGCGAGCTGTCGTACTCTTCTAGTTTAATATTGTTGAAAGATGGCGAACATCTTAGAAAGTAGGTCAGCCTGGGGAGGGACAAGCATCTGGTGATGAGGTAAAGTGCATCATGAGCATCGATGTCTTCAATCCTCTCGTTCATCCTCTTCAGGTCAGTGATCTTCTTACCAAGGACCTCGTCGATGGCATTCCTTCCAAGAGGAGCACCTAGGAGTGTGCTGTCCTCAGGGTTGGTTGTATGAATGTCAGGCAAAACAACCTTTATTTGCTCTATTATGTGCTAGTTGGTGGAGGTTATTTCGCACTTGGAAGAGTTCAGGGAAAGGCCTAGGCTTGCTCCTTGCTCCTGAATTATTCTTATGTCGTCCAAGAGTGAGGCTGGGGAGCCGGCTAGAGTACCATCGTCCAAAAACCAAATACTGAGCTCACTGGACAGGTTATCGGTGACTTCCTTGATGACTAGGCAGAAAAGAAAAGGAGCAAGGGGGTCACCCTCTTGGACACCTTCTTGTGATTCAATATTTAGATGTATAATTAATTTGCACTAATATTTTCCCCTTAGAACGTATTACAAAGATCATTTACTTGGATGATGTGTGTTATTCTTTGGATTGATGTAAAAACTTACTCATATCCCAAGCATATATATTAGGTGTTTGTTTCTTAAAGGTTGAACCCACGTGGAAGGTGAAAGAATTGTTCGTCACTGACAATCTCCAGTACGTGTTCAGGTTAGACAGCCTGGAGTCGTCCCACAAGATAAGCATCCCCGTTGGCCACCCTAATGAGATTGGCCAAATTTTCGACATCATATCTTACGACAAAGGTGAGATGTTCAAAGATCAGATAACTTTATGTAAATGTCTACGGTACTATATATTATATTGAAGCTACTTTTTTTTTTGCTTGATTAGAAGCATCTCTGGTGCTTACTGATCCCTTTACAAAGATTTTTTGTATTCCACAATTTCAGTCTGGTTGGTTCATTGATGAAGATTATGCCACCCAAGAGGTGGCATGGGTGCGAATACAATATGCCCGTGAATATCAATAAAATATGTAACATGAATAAGTTGCAATATGATTGATTGATTGATGAAGATTAAGCCACCCAAGAGGGTGGCACTGGTATGAATTGCCCGTAAGTGGTAGATTTTGTTTTAAGTGAATGTATACTGTCTGCTGAGTGTATACTGTGTATACTCGTTGTGCCTCATGTAGTCCTGTTTTCCAGACGAAACTCATCCTCTGTTAGTGTTCTAATATTAGAATTTGTCCATGTATACAAATCTCATAAATATTTATATTGTAATGCTTATTAAATCCGTATCTCAGGTGCATCCATTATCCGCATGATGAACCACTTCCTGACGGAGCGCACTTTGAGGAAGGGACTGAGCAACTACCTCAGTGTTTTGTAAGTCTTTATTTTATTTGTCACGTTTATCTGGTGTTAAATTTCTCTTCCATAAGTAAAGATGAAGGAGTTGTTGATGTGTGTACAGCTGAGATTGTTTGGTCTTGTTGAGCAGCAAGTATGGGAACGCTGAGCAGGACGACCTTTGGGAACACCTGACGGAGGCGGCCCATCAGGACGGTACACTGCCCCTTCACCTCACTGTCAAGACCATCATGGACACCTGGACGCTGCAGAAGGGTTACCCCGTCATCATGGTTGACAGGAGCCCGGACGGTACTTCCGCTACTGTCTCCCAGGTGAGGTGGTGAGGGTCGGTACTTCAAGTGAGGTCAGTGAGGTGGTGAGGGTCGGTTGCTATTATCTCTTAAGTGAGGTGGCCAGGTGGTGACGGACAGTACTTCCATTCCTGTCTCTCAGGGGGGGAGTAAGGATCGGAACTTCTGCTACTGTCTCCACTGTTGGCTTCCCAAAATTATCGAAACATACCCACTCTGCAGAAACCCCTTGTGGTCATGGACATAACCTGGCATTTGGGTCATGGACATAATCAGGCATCAACTAGTGCCTAAACACTCTCAGGCCGAAACTACGGAAGCGTTCAAGAGCAAAGTCCTCAGTTAACAGGTTAGTTATAACTAACTATTTATAGTTAACAGAACCAATCACTGGCCAGTATATTCAGTCTGTGTTAAATATTGTCCGTATCTCTTGTTTAGTCAACAACTGAGTTGTTGACTAAATGTTATGGCGTAGAGAGGAATTTTTATTTTTTTTATTTTTTTTTATTTTTACATGCAAGCATGCAAGGGAAAAACAATAAATACAATAAAACAATAAATGAAACAGTACACAACAAACAAGAAACCGCCGGCCAGAAGGACCGACAGCCCAGCACAACAATTAACAAAGCTGGATAAGGTAACAATGTAAGCATGAGATACACACAGCATGACAAAACAGAAAATAATTTACAATCAAGCACGGCAAAGAAAACAATAAAACATAGTAACATTATAAAACATTAAGGAGGAAAGAACAAAACAAAACAATCTCACCGGCCGGAAGGACCGACAACAACGCACAACAATATGAACAGGTAAATACAACAAAAATCACAACACTTAAAGCATGAATATAACACACAGGGCAAAGAAGTAACACAAAAAACTAATACACGAAGAAAAACTCACACCAAACTACCTGCTACGCCCCAAACTAAAGGGGAAGGCACGGGCACAAACTACGCGAGGGCAAACAAGCAGCCAGAAGGGCACACAGGACAAGAGGAAACACAGAATTTAGGAAATCAGTAGACATACTTGTCCGGAAATAAGCTCTGAGGGAACCGTACATTGTACGCCTCCCATTACAACCACTGCCAAGGGTCGAGACCATCCACCGGGGATGCCATCTCATCCGGAACCCTGGCAACAAATACCTGCAAACAGGGGATCCAAATGGTATTACACCGGAGGCGAGTGATCGGCACACGCTCCCACACGAAGGTAGACTCTTCATGAAAGTACCGCGGCTCCTCGTATAACGGTAACGTAGCAATCCTCTTCCAGTGACCCTGCGGCATCTCAGACTCCGACATCATGTCCCCCAGGTCCCCAATGAACATCCTCCGAGCACGGACCCATATAGAGGGCACCACCACAGGGGCACCAGCAGCCACGGGCACACCGTAGGATGACAGCCGGGAATCCGATCGCCGCGGATCCTTCGGCAAAGTCACCACCAGGCTACGCCCAGCACCAGCATCCCCACCATCCCTGGCAGCGGAAGCCACCACCCCCCACCACGGAGAGCCCTCCATTGGAGGGGCAGAAGGCGCACGTGAGACACAGCCACCATCACCAGCAGGCACATGGACCTCCACCTCCACTAACCATGGAGCCAACGGCGCATTCGGACCCACACCGTCCACATCCGAGGATCCACAGTCACTAAAATCCCCAACATTGGGCCAGGCGGACGACGAACGCCTGGAACGTTTGGGCTCCGGCCGAATATCGTCAGAGCCGGAAGCTGACCAAGAAACACGGGCACCACTAGCCGGACGAACCGACATTCGATGCAGAACGGCAGCAGCCTCTACCACAGGGGGAACCGAACCACACACAGCAGGAGGCACCGCAGCCACCCCAGCACCCAGCACAGGAGGGACCCGAGGGGAGGATGCAGGGCCAGGTTCCACAGCCGAAGACGAGGAAGCAGATGGCGACGCCTCACAGGGATTACCAGGAAGGTCCACGGGAGCGGCAGGGCCAGAGATACGATCAGGAGAAACATCCGACGACACCACAACACCCAGAGGAGGGTCTGCGACAACCGGGGGAACGTCAGGCAATGCTGGGGGAGCCTCAGCAGCGAACGGGACGCTTGCCTCCTCACCCCCAGCGTCCTCCTCCAGAGGGAGCGGCAGGAAATCCTCCTCACAGAACAAATTCACTGGAGCGACCGGAACAGCAGTACACCCGGCAGCCTGATGCCCCAACAAGCCACACCGGAAACAAGTACAGGGTTGACATGCATAAAACACCCGCACGTTGTACCCTAACAGCCGGACAGAAGACTGAACGTCCGACCTCAGTCGCATCCCAAGGGTCCGAATGTTGGTCTTCACACCGGAATACATGCCAGATGATAGCGAGTTCATCCGCACAATGACGACGGAGCCGTACCTCTGGAGGAATCGCCACAGGAAAGTCTTTGGGAAACTCCATGGGGGCACCATGGACACTTACATAAGTCACAGCTCCACTACGGTCCAAAATGGTCACAGACCCTGCGCCATCCTGCAGCTGCAAAGTACGTCCCTCGTACTTCCGGAGAAATCCACGGTACACCTCCTCACCCATAAACTTGATGATGACACAGCGAGCAGTGACCAGCTCGACACCATACACATCCTGGACCAGGACTCGGAGCATGTAACTCAAGACCAAGTCCACCAATGGGTAACCAGCACGGCCAGTAAACTCCAATCCTATGGAGTTTATCCTCACGACAGCCGGAATAGGGCAGCCCATCGTAAACACCACCACCAGGAACAGCAGGGAGGGTAGAGACACCCACACCCCCTGCCGGCGAAAACGGCAAGCACCCCAAAACTGCCGGAGCGGGCAAACACCGCTCGGCAGCCCCAGTGGAATCTCCTCGTAGAGAGGAAGTGGCACTTGATGTTGATGCCAGAGGAACACACAATCCCCGTGGTAAAGTGGTAAGACACTTGCCTGGCGTTTTGCGAGCGCTTTGCTCTGCGTTCGTATCCTAGCTGGGGAGGATTTACCGAGTGTCAATCGTTAACTGTAGCCTCTGTTTACCCAAAAGTAAAATGGGTACCTGATTGTTAATCTATTTGGCGGGTCGTATTCCGGGGAACATCGGATTAAGGACTTGCCCGAAATCCTATGCGTGCTAGTGACTGTACAAGAATGTAATAACTCTTGTATATATAAAACAAAAGTTTTCGTGCCTCCATTTGTTTATTTATTTGAGTATTTTATTGTGTATAGTTCCATTGTTGGATTTGTCTTTGGAATACTGGATAAGAAATCGATAACATTAAAAGAATGTCTTGATATGTGACCTCTTCCTGTGCTTTGACTTAGAGATGAGTCAGTGTTTTCTTCCATGAATTTGTCTCCGTGAATATTTGTGGAGCTATGGAAAGACTGCATTGCTTGCATGCTTATTGCAAACGAAATGCCAACTATCCCTGCTTGCTTGTAGTTATCGGGGTGCAAACTATCCCAGTATGTTTGCTGCAAAAGGAGTCAGAACTTTTTCTTCTTGCTTGTTGCAAATAGGCAGCAGCTGTTCCTGTTTGCTTTATCCCAATCTGTGAACTCGTATCTCTTATCATGCTTGTATGATTTTATAAATTTTCCACAATGAGGACTGCATTTCTACTACCAAAACTGACGTTTTAATATAAATATGTAACGCCCTTCGGTTTACGTTTCCTCCATCATTGCTGTAGATGTGAATAACTAGAGGTGAGGTGACCGGGTGTTGTACAGGTGAAGTGTTGATGCTCTCAATACTGTCTCCCTGCTAGCCACTCGACACAAGAAATACAACAATATACTTAGCCTGCTACAAAAATTTTAATATCCTAGGATCTTTTTAGAAGATTTAAACATAATGGAAATCCCAATTTTTCATTTTAAAAAATATTACTTTCTTTTTTTTCCTCAGGAACGTTTCTTGCTGGCAGGGACGGCGGTTTCTACGGACACCCACGTCTACAAGTGGTGGGTGCCGTTGACCTACACAGCTGGCGACGACCCCAACTTCAACAATACAGAGGTCAAGGTGTGGATGAAGGAGTCCGAGACACACATCACCATCCCGTCCCTGCCCAACAAGGGTCATTGGGTCATCTTCAACCTGCGAGAGACGGGTTATTACAGAGTTAACTACGACCACAACAACTGGAACCTGCTCATCCAGCAACTCCTTACCGACCACCGGGCCATCCACACCATCAACAGAGCTCAGATCATCGATGATGCCATGAACCTTGCCAAAGGAAGTGCGTATCTTTATATATATTATTTTTATACCAGCTATGATACCCTGCCTTGCCCTAGTTATGGAGGACACAAGTTTATTACACAGTATCCTCATTTCTGTAACCATCTACATTATACAGTCTTCATTACTAAAGTATATGGAGTATACTATGTACTAAACTTTATGTACATCCACTGTTAAATTAAGGTATACAAATATTTAACGTCAGGCCTAGTCTGGCCTGTGACTAAGACCTAGTCAAGAATTGGAGCTAGTAGCGTTTCAGATGTTCTAAACATATGAGAATTACGTTTATGTTGACAGGCCTGTGATAACCCTTATTAATGATTCTCATAAAAATCATATTTGCCTAATCGCTTGTGCCTAACACCCAGAGCCTGTGACTCCGCAATAAAGCACGATAACACTATACAATAAGTTAGTGATATTCTTCATGAAGGATGTTTTCAGTTACTGAACATCGTTATAATGCGTTGTATCGTATTACATTAAACAAGGGATTTTATGTTGTTGAGTGCGACCATTGATTTATTGATTGATTCACTATGAAGGGGGAATGATGATAATTTTGATATTGAAAATTGAAAATCAAATTATAATGGTGTAAGATTGGATATGAAAATCAACTTACAGATTTCTAAACTCTTCCTTGAGCCACAGTATAAAACACCTGGGTTTAGAACACCTCACCGCCAGTGTTAACGATGTAGCCTTAACCATCCCTTTTCCCCTGCCCCTGTGCCAGACCGGGTGAGCTACGAGGTGGCTCTGGGGCTCTACAGCTACCTGGGCAACGAGACCGAGTACGTGCCCTGGAAGGCAGCCGTCAACAACCTGGGCTACATAAGGAACATGTTCACACGCACTGGCAGTTACGGTGCTCTCAAGGTGAGTGTCCAGCTCTCAACTCCTCTAGGATGTTATCGAGGTTTCACCAATGTAACAAGAGGGAAGAAAAGTAATGACTAGTTTAAGAGAGAGGAAATATATTGAATGGTTTAAGAGGAAAAGTAGTTTAAGAGAGAGGAAATATAATGAATGGTTTAAGAGGAAAAGAATGAATAGTTTAAGAGAGAAGAAAATTAATAAATGGTTTAAGAGAGAAGAAAAGTAATGAATGGTTTAAGAGAGAAGAAAAAGTAATGAATGGTTTAAGAGGGAAGAAAAGTAATGAATGGTTTAGGAGACAGGAAAAGTAATGAATGGTGTAAGAGGGAAGCATTGGAGGTAGAACTCCTGAACCACAGCTAGAGTGCACGTCGGCAATGAGTGAATTCCAGGATTTGGCTTCAGTGGAAGCCTCAGAACCCCTCGAGGATTCAATGGAATCCTAGGATGCATTTCTTTTGACCATGTCGTGTTTTGTGTTCTAGGGCGTGGAATCTCTCACTGTTCTTGTAAGTAAAGGCGAAATTTTTCTTCCCCACGCCAGAACTACCTGCTGGACTTGGTGGTCCCGCTCTATGACAGGGTTGGGTTCAACAACAGAGCGGACGACCCTCTCCTGGAGCAGTACCTGCGCCACACTGCCGTCAGCTGGGCTTGTACGCTGCGCCACAAACCTTGTCTAGATAACGTACTCGGCCTCTACCGCCAGTGGATGACCAACCCAGAGAACAACACGTAAGACAGTTTCTGTATAAAATTGATTTACGAACTTTATCAGTGACATTTCAAGGCAGAAAATCACAAGTATGCAGATTTTTACTAAAAAGCATTTATAATATTTAGATTTATCCTCACGAAGATGCACGTGATTTAAAAGCATACCCAAAGGGCAAATTTTCTACCTTACTGTACTAACCTAGTTGTACTCGCCTAGTTGTGTTTGCGAGTGTTGAGCTCTGGCTCTTTGGTCCTGCCTCTCAACTGTCATTCAACTGATGTACAGATTCCTGGGCCTACTGGGCTCTATTATATCTACATTTGAAACTGTTTATGGAGTCAGCCTCCACCACATCACTGCCTAATGCATTCCATCTGTTAACTACTCTGACTAAGTTCTTTCTAACGTCCCTGTAGCTCATTTGGGTACTCAGTTTCCACCTGTGTTCCCTTGGTCATGTTCCACCCGTGGGTGGTACCCACCCACGTGGTGGTACCCACCCACGTGGTGGTACCCACCCACGTGGTGGTACCCACCCACGTGGTGGTAACCATCCACGTAGTGGTACCCACCCACGTGGTGGTACCCACCCACGTGGTGGTACCCACCCACGTGGTGGTACCCACCCACGTGGTGGTACCCACCCACGTGGTGGTACCCACCCACGTGGTGGTACCCACCCACGTGGTGGTACCCACCCACGTGGTGGTACCCACCAACGTGGTGGTAACCATCCACGTGGTAGTACCCACCCACGTGGTGGTAACCATCCACGTGGTAGTACCCACCCACGTGGTGGTACCCACCCACGTAGTGGTACCCACCCACGTGGTGGTACCCACCCACGTGGTGGTACCCACCCACGTGGTGGTACCCACCCACGTGGTGGTACCCACCCACGTGGTGGCTCACGGTGTTTAATAACTCAAGCTAAATTTGAAATCTGCAGTTCAGTGGATTTTTGCATGTTATTAATATGATGTATCCCCCTAACTTAAGGCTTTCATTATCACAAGTAATTTTAACATGGTTTGGGGAAGTTTGTCATTGCTGTGATTAGCCACTGTTTCTCCAGATCGCCTTTTCACATTCTTGCACTTGTATATAGTAGCAGTCTTAGAAAACACATTATTGTTTCAACTCGTCGTGTTAATAGAACGTCGCATTTTGACGCATACTCTACCCAAGGTCAAAAATTGTCGTACTAGAAATTGGTAGCGGTTCGCGAAATTGACTTACTGCCCTGTTTTATGCTTTGGGTCCTCTGGTAGGTTAGGATAAGGGCACTTTAATTCGACAATTTCTTGACGTTGGGAAACCTTGTTAGGACGGGCTAATTTTTAATACTATTATAGTACCTACTCCTTTGGCAGGATCATCTCTCCCAGCCTCAAAAGAATAGTGTACTGCAATGCGCTCGCGGCAGGCGAGGAAGAGGAGTGGGAATTCGCCTGGAATCAGTACCTCCAGACCAACGTGGGATCAGAGAAAAGTATTCTTCTGAGGGCCATGGGATGTACCAAACAACTGTGGCTCCTCTCCAGGTAGGAACTGTTACATCCTCGAGTTTAATATTAACTCCTGACTTAAGTTTGGCCTGGTCCCCCATCTGAGTTTAACAACAATGAATTATTCTTAAAGACTTCTGTTTTAACGAAGAATATGCCTTAAAATTTAGCAGGTAAGTAAAGGAAAACAGATTCATTAAACTTGTAGACAATAAACAAAAAATAAAATAATAATAGAAAGCTACTGACCTGGAGCTTAATGTACCAGTACTTCCTGAGAATCAATTAAAAAACGCAACCGTCTTCAATGTGCTAATAAAAAATTATTAACCTCTTAAGGCATGACATCAGATCATGATCATGAAATATGCAAATGAGCACAAAAGTTATGATATTACAATAACATTTCTCACCGCGATTAAAGTCCAAAATAGTTACTCTTTGGATGACATGCAACTCCACTATCAATGAAATTAATTTATTGGTAAGGCTCTTAGCAAATACACAGTTTTGGAATGATACTCAAGAACATATGAAAAGTGTGGACTACGTAATACGTAAATAAATTGAAATTAAGGTACAAATTTAGGGTAGTGGAAGAGCAGCCAACGTAAGCCCAGCCTTATATAAACCCAGACGTTAATGCAATCCGTCCTCGACTCAAATCCATTACATCCAGCGATCGACCCCACAGACGCATTCATAAATTTTTACATGCCGTTCATTCAAAACAAATTTTCTCAAATATAAATGAATATTATAATTTTTAGCATATTGTGCATATATAGGTTAGGTGTTTAGGGTCTGTTGACGATTATTTGTATTTGTAGTACGTGGGTGAAGCATTTATAGCGTTGTGGTTCGAACAAAATTCGTCAGTGAAGCACTTGTTCCGGATATGTTCGAACGTCAGCAGTTGTGAGTCGTGTGTAAACCGCTTTTCATTCATAAACAGGGGGTTTGGCGGGTGCATGGAATCACTTTTGGATCTTTGTTTGGAGGACGGGCTGCATTTACAGCATTGTGGTTCGAACAAAATTCGTCAGTGAAGCATTTGTTCCGGAAGTGTTCGAACGTCATCAGTTGTGAGTCGCGAATAAACCGTTTTTCATTCATAAACAGGGGGTTTGGCAGATGCATGGAATCACTTTTGGGTCTTTGTTTGGAGGATGAGCTGCCTCTAACATGAGATGGAAGAGCATTGTTTGTGTTTGTACACTTAACACTACTTTTTTGTTGTTTAGTCTGTCATTCAGTGTACGGTCTGTTTCGCCAAAGTATTGGAGAGGGCAAGACGAACAGGAAATAAAGTAGACACCAGCAGCAGTATGAAGCAAAAGGAGCAGTGCGAACCAGATTACTACAGAGTGTGTTAGTTTGCCGAAAAGTGAGTTTTATATCTAGAGAACGAAGGGTCAACAAAGCCTAAATGAGTCAACAAAGACTCAATTAAAACTCTTGGCTTGCACTGTTTTTCAGTAATCAATACTGTGCTACTCATGCCTGCAATGCACTGCAGGAGCTTATAATATATCAGGTGGATTCACAGTAAAGCAACAATTCCCCTGAAATGCTCATACCTTGTTTTCTATTTAACTCTTCATATCACTTCTTCAATTTCATATATTCTTATGTTCTTAAGAAATTGAATTCAATAAAAATATTTTAGATTCTCATTGAAGCAAAAATATTAAGATTAAATAATCATCGTAGTTTCATTACGGAAAAAAAACAAGAATGCTCTTTTAATGATTTTGATAAAAATGATTGGTATTTTTCTTCAGGTACTTGGAGATGGCCATCGATCCCAACAGTGGCATCAGGAAACAGGACTCACAGCTTGTCCTTGCGTCTGTAGCCTATAACGACGTGGGGCGTCCCCTGGCCTGGACCTTCCTCAGGGACAACTGGAAAAAAATCTTTGACTAGTTAGTTTATATTTTTTTTAATCTAAAATTATTAACTGCTCTTATTTAGACCTACGAGGAGTTTAGCAGTCTTGTGAAGGTTAACAGCAAGTAAACAAACATGTTTAGGGCTTTGCCTACTAAACAAGCTTCTTCTCTTTACAGTTTGTAATAAAATACTTTTAGACACTGTTATTCAAAGTGTTTACTCCTAAATTAATAAAAAAAAATTTTTAGGTCTACAGCTTTTCAACAAACTTGTATGAAACTGCAAAAAGTAGCAAGCATATTAGTTCTACTGCTATTGAGCTAACTTGCTTAATAGCGAAATTATTAAGTAAAGCAACTACTAACTGATAGTGTTTAGCACTGTCAATGATACACGATTATGTATTGCGATACATATCTGAGTTTGACTAGTGCACTGTGGTAATAATGGCAAAATATTTGAAGTGATGTATGAAAGCAGTTTATGATAATCTCAATATTTTCTTTAATACTGACTTCTTTTCCTGCACAGCTTGGGAGGAAAGGCAAAGCCCAACATCATATCGGCCTCTACTAAATATTTCAACACTAGGCAACAGCTCAAAGAGGTAATGACACTATAACTCTCTCTCTCTCTCTCTCTCTCTCTCTCTCTCTCTCTCTCTCTCTCTCTCTCTCTCTCTCTCTCTCTCTCTCTCTCTCTCTCTCTCTCTCTCTCTCTCTAAATACAATAAAGATAATTATACCTAATAATTTCAATAATTAATAATTACAATTAACGTTTTAAAAACCTTTGCTCTAAAACATTATATCATAACATTAAAAACATCTTTTATTAAAACATTCTGACCTCACGTTTTATAATCGTTTTTACACATTCTCAAAACACGTGTATAAAACGTAATTTAAAATGTGAATAAAATAATAAAATTTTGGGTTTGAAAACGTTCAGAAAACGGGAAAATATTTGGTGGGTTCCCACCAGCTCACCCGGTCCCTCCCTCTATCTCACCCGGTCCCTCCCTCTAGCTCACCCGGTCCCTTCCTCTAGCTCACCCGGTCCCTCCCTCTATCTCACCCGGTCCTTCCCTCTAGCTCACCCGGTCCCTCCTCTAGCTCACCCGGTCCCTCCCTCTCACCCGGTCCCTCCCTCTATCTCACCCGGTCCTCCCTCTAGCTCACCCGGTCCCTTCCTCTAGCTCACCCGGTCCCTCCCTCTATCTCACCCGGTCCCTCCCTCTAGCTCACCCGGTCCCTCCCTCTAGCTCACCCGGTCCCTCCCTCTATCTCACCCGGTCCCTCCCTCTAGCTCACCCGGTCCCTTCCTCTAGCTCACCCGGTCCCTCCCTCTATCTCACCCTCCCTCCTAGCTCACCCACTATCCAGGTCTCACCCGGTCCCCCTCTAGCTCACCCGGTCCCTCCCTCTATCTAGCTCACCCGGTCCCTCCCTCCTCCAGCTCACCCGGTCTTCCCCCTCTAGCTCACCCAGTCCCTCCCTCTATCTCACCCGGTCCCTTCCTCTAGCTCACCCGGTCCCTCCCTCCAGCTCACCCGGTCTTCCCCCTCCAGCTCACCCGGTCCCTCCATCTAGCTCACCTGGTCCCTCCCTCCAGCTATTTTAAATCCCTCCACAATTTTAATACTATAAAGGTATGATTTACAAAGGACAATGAGTCTCAGTACATGTACATAAGGAAGTGTTTTCTCCTCAGGTGATGGCCTTCCAGGGGGAGCATCGAGGGGAGCTCAAAACCGCCACCAGAAAAATTGATCAGACTATAGAGACGATAACGAACGACATTGCATGGATGGACGCCAACTACGACACTGTGGTGAAGTGGCTGGGACAGCAGGGCTTCAGCGCCAGGATTAAGAACGTCTGGGCTCGGCCATCACTCATAGTATAAGCCCTGGAAACACAATCCGAAACTGTCTCTATTTTCCGCTTGTTACAACTTGTAATAAAGTTGTTACATCTTGGCTTAACGTGTTTATGACGTATTAGAACGTTGTTACAACTTGATATATTGGTTGTTATAACTGGTTAGGAGGTGTTAAAACTTGTTCGAACGTTGTAGCAACGTCGTAGTTTAGGTGTGTGTTTGGCGGGAGGCTTTGAATGATGTAATAATATACAGCTCTGTAGTTACGGCTCATGTGGGTTGGAAATATTCCTTTTGAACAATGAATTAAATATAAAAATGTTCACTACAGCCTCTTCCTAAAGGTATTAGAAGCTGTAAATATACACATGTCATACCTAATAGCCAGAATGTTCTATTCTCGGCCTAGTATGCAAAGCCCAATTTGCCTAATGAGCAGAGTGATTTTGTTAGTTTCAAAATTTTATTTCCAAGTGATTTATTTTGATTAATATTATTAGGAACATGAATTACTGACTTAATTATGTTAGTCCAATTTAGGGTAAGAGAAGTCTTTTTGCCTATGTATTACAATTTTTCCCTCCGGATTCCAGCTTCTGGAATCAGGTAATAAATACAATAAATGTATTTATTATATTTATAATAAATAATACATATTTATAGTACATAATAGTAACTGTCAGGAAATTTTTTAAAAGTTTATAAAATCTTAAAGAAAAATTTAATATTACGTGTTACCAACGCAGACAAACCAAATGCTATTGCAATTTTCAACAAAAAAATACATTTTATTGAATATGTAAATTAAAGTAAGTCTGATACTTACAAAATTGACAAAGACTCTTTTTAATGTTGTTTAATATCATTTTGAACCTATTAAAAATTAGTTGAAAGGTAGTAACCTTTTATTGAAAACAATTAACTATCTGCATCATTAACTGATACGTAAGGCCTGCTTAAAACTCAAACTTAATAATCTGGGGCCAGATTCACGAAGCAGTTACACACCGTCGCACTAAGGACGCCCACTTCCGCCCACAATATGGGTATTGGATGCATAATAAATGGACTTAACTAACTAAACCTTTAACAAGCTGCTGGCTTTCTGTCCTCGTCGAGGCCACTAGATAGTGAAATGATCCGTTGATTCTTGAACAGAAACAAGATGGGACTTGAAGACCGGTAAGCGACTAATCAATAGTTTTTGACAGGCATATATAGAGGGGAGTTATGCAGTATGGACATGCATACATAGAGGACATGCACAGTTATATACCAAGGACAGGTATACATAGACACTTATACGCCAAGGACAGTTATACACCGAAGACAGTTAGTTATACATAAAGGCACTCGTGCACCAATGACAGGTATACACTATAGACAGTTATACACCATAGACAATTATTACCAAACACAGGTATACACCACGGACAGGTATACATAAAAACTCTTATAACCCTAAAACTTCTATACACATCACTGAGGTTAGACAAAAAGAAAAGTCAGTATTAATATATTACTTTATATATCATACATCACATTTTTATTAATTAACTGCAACGTTCTATTCACAAATTATGTCATAAATATATATATTGTAAAAATTCAAAGCTATATAACGACAAAAGAAAAATCTTATTGAACTAAATAAGCAATGTAACTTTACCCACACAATTACCACAACAGTGGAGTGGATCACACGACGGAAGGTAAACTGAGACAAAGTTTCACTATATGAAGCATTAGAAGGAAACCATTGTTTACAAGTACCCACGCTAGCTCTAATGCAACGAGAAGTTTACATAAATTTTGCAGCTATACTGTGTTGCTATACAGTTACACCTTCTTAGCACTTCGTATGTATTATAGAATAATCAATCGCTGCCGAGATGACCTTAGGATATGTTAACAGGGAACTCAGACAGCCCATAAAGACAAAACAATAGTTATAGAACTGAATTTGAATGTTCATAATGTATATTTGTTACTTTATAATTTCAGCTTAAGATCAATTATTCACAATAATGTTTTAGGGACAGATAACCACGTTTGAAAATGGAAGGAGCAGCCAGAGCTGCTAAAGAGGGGTAACACAAATTCTTCCATTTTCAAATGTGGCTATCTTGCGTTTAATAGATCAGCACTATTAACAGATAATGCAAATCTATTAATATATATATATATATATATATATATATATATATATATATATATATATATATATATATATATATATATATATATATATATATATATATATATATATATATATATATATATATATATATATATATATATATATATATATATGTACTGACTTGCTTTTAAACCAAGTTTGAAGTTTCTATACTTCAAACTTGTGGTTTAAAAGCAAGTCAGTGCATTAAGCATATAACAGGGCTTGATGGAAAACGTGAATGATCCCTCACTGTCTCAGTTGCCTTGAGAGGAAGGGGGATGTCTGGGGTGAAATACCCCAGAATTCCCACCTCTTTGGGGCTCTGAGTAGGGTGTAGTGGATTTAAGTGCGTACCTGCCATCTTGATGGCCAGGGTTCAAGTCTCCTGGTGGGTGTGAGTGTCTAAAGATATATATATATATATATATATATATATATATATATATATATATATATATATATATATATATATATATATATATATATATATGTCGAACCTAGTAGCCAGAACGCACTTCTCAGCCTACTATGCAAGGCCCGATTTGCCTAATAAGCCAAGTTTTCCTGAATTAATATATTTTCTCTATTTTTTTTCTTATGAAATGATAAAGCTACCCATTTCATTATGTATGAGGTCAATTTTTTTTTATTGGAGTTAAAATTTACGTAGATATATGACCGAACCTAACCAACCCTACCTAACCTAACCTAACCTATCTCTATAGGTTAGGTAACCGAAAAGGTTAGGTTAGGTTAGGTAGGTTAGGTAGTCGAAAAACAATTAATTCATGAAAACTTGGCTTATTAGGCAAATCGGGCCTTGCATAGTAGGCTGAGAAGTGAGTTCTGGCTACTAGGTACGACATATATATATATATATATATATATATATATATATATATATATATATATATATATATATATATATATATATATATATATATATATAATATATATATATGTCGTACCTAGTAGCCAGAACTCACTTCTCAGCCTACTATTCAAGGCCCGATTTGCCTAATAAGCCAAGTTTTCCTGAATTAATATATTTACTATAATTTTTTTCTTATGAAATGATAAAGCTACCCTTTTCACTATGTATGAGGTCAATTTTTTTTATTGTAGTTAAAATTAACGTAGATATATGACCGAACCTAACCAACCCTACCTAACCTAACCTAACCTATATATATAGGTAAGGTTAGGTTAGGTAGCCAAAAAAAGCTAGGTTAGGTTAGGTTAGGTAGGTTAGGTAGACGAAAAAACATTAATTCATGAAAACTTGGCTTATTAGGCAAATCGGGCCTTGCATAGTAGGCTGAGAAGTGAGTTCTGGCTACTAGGTACGACATATATATATATATATATATATATATATATATATATATATATATATATGTCGTACCTAGTAGCCAGAACTCACTTCTCAGCCTACTATTCAAGGCCCGATTTGCCTAATAAGCCAAGTTTTCCTGAATTAATATATTTACTATAGTTTTTTTCTTATGAAATGATAAAGCAACCCTTTTCTCTATGTATGAGGTCAATTTTTTTTTTATAGGAGTTATAATTAACGTAGATATATGACCGAACCTAACCAACCCTACCTAACCTAACCTAACCTATATTTATAGGTAAGGTTAGGTTAGGTAGCCAAAAAAAGCTAGGTTAGGTTAGGTTAGGTAGGTTAGGTAGACGAAAAAACATTAATTCATGAAAACTTGGCTTATTAGGCAAATCGGGCCTTGAATAGTAGGCTGAGAAGTGCGTTCTGGCTATTAGGTACGACATATATATATATATATATATATATATATATATATATATATATATATATATATATGTCGTACCTAGTAGCCAGAACTCACTTCTCAGCCTACTATGCAAGGCCCGATTTGCCTAATAAGCCAAGTTTTCATGAAATAATTGTTTTTCGACTACCTAACCAACCTAACCTAACTTTTTCGGCTACCTAACCTAACCTAACCTATAAAGATAGGTTAGGTTAGGTTAGGTTAGGTAGGGTTGGTTAGGTTCGGTCATATATCTATGTTAATTTTAACTCCAATAAAAAAAATTGATCTCATACATAATGAAATGGGTAGCTTTATCATTTCATAAGAAAAAAATTAGAGAAAATATATTAATTCATAAAAACTTGGCTTACCAGAACGCACTTCTTGGCATACTATGCAAGGCCCGATAGGCCGAGTGATTTTCTTTATTTTCAATAAATTGTTTCCAATTAGTTTATTTGAATTATTATTATTATATTATATTAGGAACATAATTTATTGACTTAGTTGTGTTAGTTTAGGTTAGGTTTAGATTGGTTAGGTTAGGTTAGGTTAGGTAAGGTTGGTTAGGTTCGGTCATATATCTATGTTAGTTTTAACTCAAATTTCATCAAATTCACTTATAAATAATGAAATGGACAGATTTATTATTTCATAAGAAAAAATGACAAAAATATATAAATTCAGGAAAACTAGGCTTATTAGGCAAATCGGGCCTTGCATAGTAGGCCGAGTACGACGTTCTGGCTACTAGGTACAACATATATATATATATGTCGTACCTAGTAGCCAGAACGCACTTCTCAGCCTACTATGCAAGGCCCGATTTGCCTAATAAGCCAAGTTTTCCTGAATTAATATATTTTCTCTAATTTTTTTCTTATGAAATGATAAAGCTACCCATTTTATTATGTATGAGGTCAATTTTTTTTTATTGAAGTTAAAATTAACGTAGATATATGACCGAACCTAACCAACCCTTCCTAACCTAACCTATCTTTATAGATTGGGTTAGGTTAGGTAGCCGAAAAAGTTAGGTTTGGTTAGATTAGGTAGGTTAGGTAGTCGAAAAACCATTAATTCATGAAAACTTGGCTTATTAGGCAAAACGGGCCTTGCATAGTAGGCTGAGAAGTGCGTTCTGGCTAATAGGTACGACATATATATATATATATATATATATGTGTGTGTGTGTGTGTGTGTGTGTGTGTGTGTTTGTGTGTGCAAAAAAATGTCCAGTACCTGGATGTGAGACATACTTCCATAATGTGTTTTCTGGATCTGCTTCTTAGAGACGAATGTCATTTATCTATAGCTATTCAGTCAACTCTAATATGTATATGGTTCTCTATGTCTCTATTTTAAATAACTTCTTTATAGTAGTATCTTTAGTCCACAAAAAATTAGTTTGTTTTGCTTTATAAAATTAAAGTCATTTACATATATCCAATATGACAATTAAAGGTTGTGAAATAAAAAAATGTATATGAAACAGACTAAGATCCTAGCATTGATGCCTAAGGTAAACATTCTTAATTGGTATTAACAAAGGAAAACAGCATTTAATCTACCTGCACTCTACTGCACTGGAAAGCTTTCATAGGTGGTATGAAAATGTTGCGTCATGACTATAATAATCCAAGCGACGATAATTTAACAAGTTTCCGCGCCACGGTGATCCTGGTGGATGAATGAGGCAGAGCGTTGTTTCTGCCTTTCAATTAGAGCCTAAAGGACTTGCAATACCTTAGAGTCAAGACTTGAATGTCTTTATTGCAAGATCAAATGCTACCGAATCTTTAATACCACATAGCTATATATATATATATATATATATATATATATATATATATATATATATATATATATATATATATATATATATATATATATATATATATATATATATATATTGGAAAATTACCAATTCAAAAGGAAAGAACTTATGCTGTTGATATATAAGACGAGGAATATGATGTTCTCCAGAACCCAAAATCAAGTGGTTCATTTTGCACTAAGTTGAAAGCTCTGTTCGACGGTATTCTGTTTTCCATGTGGCAATATCCATGGCTTGTTGTCACTCAGACTTCACACTCGTAAGTCTGCTGCTATGTAGACTTACAGACTAATCACCCAATGTTTTCGAAACTTCCAGGAGATACATTTATCAAAATTACAATACCACGGGCTTTCTGTTATTTCAAATTCAATGTACTACTTCGGAACTTTCCAACTTCAAAGTTAACAAAAAAAAAACTGTTATTCGTATTTTAAAATGATAGTTCTCATATTATTCGAACATGGGGCTCACTTTTTATCCGATCTTCAACATCATTTGGATGCTTTTATCTAAAAATTAAACTCAGGGGTTCAATGAGATATGGACTTGATGATGAAGAATGAACTCTTATATGAACTTCATAGATCATATGCTTATTGATATATGGAAATCAAATCAAGTTCATGGGCCTAATGCCATTAGAATTTCAAGATCAAATCTCTACTGCTATTCGAACTTCAAGATCAAAGACCTACTGTTCTCTTGTAGTCAAAGTCAATCGCCAGCTTTAATGTTGACCGGGAGTCACAAAACAAGACCTCTTGTTATTATTATTCCATTTAAATTGAATAACCAAGGGTCTATAATTATCGAACCTAAAATCCCAAAGAGCAGTAATCTTCTTGCTAAAAGAAGTCTTTAAATGTTCTTGCTAAAAACTTCAACCTTTCAGGTTTAAACCGTTAAAAGCGTCGATACTTTAGAACCAATGGGTTTTACCATTTCAATGTCAAGTTACTAAATAAATTCGGGACCTTAAGACCATTGAGCTAAGTTTGTCGGAGCCTCAGATGTCCATGTCAGGCGCCAACGGTAATCGCAACATCTAAGTTAAGAAAGTCTATTGAAACCTAAATACATCGGCAATCACCGGCTAGAACATGAATGCACTCGTTGCTTTCGATATATTAATTTGAGGAAGCTTTATCCTTCATTATATCGCCCTTGAAGCTTTCGTCGCAGAGATCTCGAGACATTTAGTATCAGTGAATGAATAAATACTTCTGGTTCAAGACGATTATATAGAGCTTTGAGAGCTCTGAACACCTGTAGCGCTCTTTGAGAGCTGTGCGTGTGTAAAAATCCTTTAGAACTCTGAGTCGATATGTAGAATTTAAAGAGCTCTAAACGACAGCATGTTTTTTTCAAGACCTGGCTTTACCTGGAGACTGTTGTGGCATCGAGTGGCAGCAATGATCTAGATGTTCCGATGACGGACCAATTATGTCAGTCTATCAATTACATCGCTCAGTCAAACCCATATCTCAGTCAGTCAATTATATAATCAACAAATTATTTGTTTACAGCATCAAACGTGATCAAACTAATATGTCACTTACGATAATTTGTTACATTTGGGCAAATTAACTATATTTTCTGCCATAATATTGGCCTAATGTGTATATTACTTTCTTCGTGCAGGTTTTGCACTCAGATCATTTTCAAAGTTGAATGTAATGTTTTAGGACAAATAAATGCGATAGCCAGGCGTATTTATTTACAACTTGCTAGTGTTGTATACGTCAGGTCAGTAATGCGTCAGTTGGAGGCTGCGTTGTCGTCCAGGTGAACTAAATTACAATTTCTAGTTCCTACTGAATGTTCCTGGAAGATGATCTAGGTGTCGCTGGCCTTTGGCGTGAGGAAGTAATCTGGGATTCTAGGCAATGTCCGCCGTTATAGTGAATAGGTGAAGCAAACGTTCCTTCATGGGAGTTCTTCTGACTCTTTTAAGCGCTGCTGAGCTTCGTGGAGTAGCCGTTCTTGTCAAGCCAGTTGACTATGACCTTGTAGTTCTCGTTCATCCAGGCTATGTTGATCTTAGTGCGCTCAATCACTTGCTGAACGGATCTGGAAACAGATTCCAGATCTTCCAGGTGTTCCCGACGGAAGAGACGCAGCTGCCAAGAGAAGAAGAGGTTAGTTACCTGACAGTGGTGCTGTGTTAGTGGCGTACTAGACCACCAGCTCATTTACACTAGGTAGATATCACCTAACTCACTCACATGCGCATTTAACTGTCGCCTTGAGAGATACTCGATGATTAGTGTTGATGTGTGTGAGAGACAGGGGAGGTCAGCTAATTGATTACATCAAGGTTAGGATGCTACACGGAAGATTAGCCAAGAGATCATCTCAATATCAGAAGGTCGCAGAGAAGATCAACCTCCGTTTCTCCTAAGACTGAACAACGTTCAGGCAAGCTCACTATATAATCAAAATCTTCTGAAATGAATATTTTGACCCAAGGACGCCGACTTGTAAAACCTTGTCCCTGTTTTTAAGATGGGGGGGGGGCCATACAGACCAGCTCACGTGGACCATACAGACCAGCTCACGTGGACCATACAGTCCAGCTCACGTGGACCATACAGACCAGCTCACGTGGACCATACAGACCGCTCACGTGGACCATACAGACCAGCTCACGTGGACCATACAGACCGCTCACGTGGACCATACAGACCAGCTCACGTGGACCATACAGACCGCTCACGTGGACCATACAGACCAGCTCACGTGGACCATACAGACCGCTCACGTGGACCATACACACCAGCTCACGTGGACCATACAGACCAGCTCACGTGGACCATACAGACAGCTCACGTGGACCATACAGACCAGCTCACGTGGACCATACAGACCAGCTCACGTGGACCATACAGACCGCTCACGTGGACCATACAGACCGCTCACGTGGACCATACAGTCCAGCTCACGTGGACCATACAGACCAGCTCACGTGGACCATACAGACCGCTCACGTGGACCATACAGACCGCTCACGTGGACCATACAGACCAGCTCACGTGGACCATACACACCAGCTCACGTGGACCATACAGTCCAGCTCACGTGGACCATACACACCAGCTCACGTGGACCATACAGACCAGCTCACGTGGACCATACACACCAGCTCACGTGGACCATACAGACCAGCTCACGTGGACCATACAGACCGCTCACGTGGAACTAGAATAAGCAACTTCTGGCTCTCTCACCTCCTTGAGTTGCTGGACGGTGTTGAAGAAACTGGTGGCAGACTTGATCAACCTGGACTTGGCCTTCCCATAGCTGTGGAGAACACGTGAGTCAGTTACCTCCATTACGCCCTCCTGAGTGACACTCTTAACTTCATGGTGTGTGGAATAATAGTTACCTCCATCACGCCCTCCTGAGTGACACTCTTAACTTCATGGTGTGTGGAATAATAGTTACCTCCATCACGCCCTCCTGAGTGACACTCTTAACTTCATGGTGTGTGGAATAATAGTTACCTCCATCACGCCCTCCTGAGTGACACTCTTAACTTCATGGTGTGTGGAATAATAGTATAATGACATGAATATTGATGGATAAAGAACCTAATTCAAATGATGTGATTTGTATGTAATTTTTTATCAAAGAAACTGAATATAATTTCGCCTCGATGACAGTCAAAGGAGTTCAATTAAATACAGTATCATTCTAAATTCCAATACAAATACAATCTTAAGCTCACTCAGTGTGTATCAGTTATGGAAGACCACCTCAAGTTTAGTCATAACGTTACAAATACCAGACACACACACACACACACACACACACACACACACACACACACACACACACACACACACACACACACACACACACACACACACACACACACACACACACACACACACACACACACACACACACACACACACACACACACACACACACACACACACACACACACACACACACACACACACACACACACACGCACGCACGTTACCTAAATATCAACATTTAAGGCATGTTGCTTAACAAGCCACCACAATTTAAAAACTTTCTCATTGCATGTAGTGAACGACTCCCTCAGGGTTGAAACGAGTACACATAGGTGTAAGGCTGTCATCATACAGTGTTACACGCTCTGAGCTTTGAACATGGTTAAATGGGCTGTAAGTCAAATACCGATGTGTGTAGATTTGTATATCAGAATTTGGCTTGTACGTTGTGGATGGGGGGCGGTGTGCAAGACAAACATATCAATTGTGACACTAGCTCTCCACACATGTCAGTTGCTTAATTTAGAAACTGTACTTATGGTCGATCTCGAACCCATTGTTGATGTGACGACTTATACTGAATTTTGTAACTAGTTCATCAAGATTGTAACTTGCTTAGCTAAATGAATTGTGGGGTTCAGTCCCTGAGCCCATTATGTGCCTCTGTAACCCTTTCCACTACCGCCCACAAAATAGGTATGGGGTGCATAATAAATGAACTAAACTAACTCTGATAGACGTTCATTGTCACACGCTCTGATAGATATTCATTGTCACACGCTCTGATAGATATTCATTGTCACACGCTCTGATAGACATCAATTGCCTTGACAGCTCCATGAGTAATCCATCATATCGTGTATACGGATTTTGCATCATCACATATCTACACAAATTGCTGTAATATTTTCCCAGGTGCCGTAAGTTAAAAAGACAAGACCAACGGACAACAAACGCTATACTTACAACTCAAAGATGGTATCCCACTGGTCCTGCAGGAAGCTCCAGGCGAGGGGTCGACCCACCTCGTTGGCAGCTACGGCGCCGAACACTCTGAAGGCGTCCTGCTTCCTGATGCCGCTATCAGGGCTGAAGGCCATCTCCAGGTACCTGAGGAAGGAATATCACACCTCACCAGTTTATTTTCAAGATAATCTAAGTAGCCTGTGGCCACAAATCCATAGTTATAACTTATGTTCCATACATTTGTTGCAAAGCTGAAATAGATACGTAGATCTGATTCTATTTTCTGATATTTTGTTTATAAAAAAACTGATAAACATCGGAGGGGCGTTGCACGTTGTAGAGGCTGAGTGAAGAAGCTACAGGCTCACGGGAATGGCCCTGAAGCTATGGTTGTAACAGTATCTGTCCCATTTCCTGCTCGATGTATTGAATGTTCAAAATAATTTAATATTCAAAATAATTTTAAGATGGTTTTTCTCCTGCAAAAACTTCCCGTCACTTTCTGCTTCACCTTTCGTGTCTGTTACCTCACTCTCTTCCTCCTCTCATTCCTTTCTCCCTCACCACCCATACCCTTCTCTCCTTCCACCCCTTCCCTTCTCCCTCATTACCACTACCCTTCTTCCCCTTTCCCCTGCCTCCTACAGGCTGCCACCCACCGACGCTTACTCACCGGGACAGTATCCAGACCTCCTTGGTGCATCCCATGGCGGAGAGGAGGCGGTTCTTCTCGGAGCCGACGTTGCTACTGAGGTATTCCTCCCAGGCGAAGTTCCACTCCTTCTCCCCGCCCACACCGATGGCGTGGCAGTACACCGTCGACTTCAGGTTGGGCGAGATTATGCTACTTGAGAGAGAACAATGTGGATAGCTTTACTTGGACTGAAGGAGGGGATGGGGGGTGTAGTGCTCAAGCATATGTGGCTGTAATACAGGAAGCTATAGCAATACGTAGAGGGTATATTGGTCCATGGTAGGGGGAGCTCAAAATGTATATCCAACTGCTCCCACTCATACGCTTGTCCACACCATGCTGGTCAACTGTCTGAGGATGTTGCTATGATGTTAATAACTTCTTCCACACATCTCCATTTAGTTTTTAAAAGTACACCCGTTTGTTGATTATACGTATTAAAATATATTCATGCTCTAATCTGAGCTTATTTATTACATGCTTTTTATATACACACAAAAATCGCAATAACGTGATATATCAAATGAACAGATCCACAAAGGTCTTGATGAGGATTCGAACCGAATACTGAGTGTTCCCAGACGCGCCTTAGTCACCTGTCCCATGACATGGTCAAAAAGAATTGCAACCTGGAATGCTACTGCCCATACAATGATCCCGAGGCTTCTACTGAAGCCTAACCGGGGTTTCACACAATTCCTCTATGCACTCGGACTCTGGCAAGGAAATAGTTCTACCTCTGACTTCTTCTTCAATAGTTCTACTTCTATACACACAGAAATCACAATAACCTGATATATCAAATGAACAAATCCACAAGGGCGTTAATGATGAAAGAGTAAATGGCACAAGAGAATGTGTGGAGTGAGCATATGTTTAACATGTTTAGAGACCTAAACAGAGTGGCTATGTGTTGTCTGAAGACAGAGTTTGTAATGGTTCTGATAGCAGATTTTTGCTGAGTGATGATGGGCTTCAGGTAGTTTGCAGTGGTTGAACCTCATGCACAGATGCCGTATGTTGGTAGGGATAGATTAGCGAGTAGTATAATGTGAAAATAACAGAGTACGAAACATAATATGTCTGATTTTTGTTAGAGTATTTCGACAGTTTTAAATATGTTATGCTATATGATATTTATGAGAACTAAAGTTAAGGTTCTTATCTGTGTACAGGCCAAAGGATCTTTCCCCCACTTTTACTATTAATGTTCACATTGTCTATCTGAAAGAGTATTTGGTTCGGCAATTTTTTTCCAAATAAAATGCAGAAGGTGTTTTTTTAAGTTTAGTGTTAGCTCGTTCATTGACATCCAAGGATGGATTTTTTTTTATCTGTCTCGTTATTTACAATATTATTGAGTGTGTGTGGGTTGGGGATTGAAATATGAAGGTAGTGTCGTCAGTAAATAGTATAGGTTTAAGAGCGTTAGCGACATCGCTAACGAAGTGTAAAAGTTCACTTTATCATGTTACTCCATATATTAGTTTGCCATTTGGGCTAATTCAAATATTCAAAATAATATGAACATTTTTGTACGTTTGAGCAAATAGTTGTTATAAGTACTACCATTATTGGAGGATGGGCTGTCATCCAGCAGGTGAGCGCATCCAATCCCTCGATCATCGGCGCCCTTTAATCAATAACACCCCTCCAACAGGCGCAGCTACTGTCGTCCGGATTGTTCATACAGTGTGTGTACCTGTTGTTATCCAGGCTGTTCATACAGTGGGCGTACCTGTTGTTTTTGGGGTTATTCATCCAGTGGGCGTATATGGCTGCGGCGTTCTTGAGACAGTCCGGGTGGTCCAGCTCGCAGGCCCACGTCAGCGCCTTCTGTCGCGTGTATTGGTCCAGCAGCGGGTCGCCCGGGCTATCGGCGAACCCCAGGGTGTTGTACAGGGGCACCAGGATGTCCAGTAAGTACCTCTGTAGCAGAAAACTGGACGTGATGAGGGAAACGCAAAATGATGAGGGTTCAAATTCATATAATTGCATTGTATAATTAGTTTATATTAGTTCTTCAAATTGTTTTCACATCATCCTAAAACCATGTACAGTGTATCATCATTTTATGATACATTTTTTCCCAATATCTGTCTCATTATTTTAATGATAAACCACACATTGTTTTACCAATGTAAATCACGTTGTCAGTTCAGCCACAATTGTAACGATTTGTATACGGTATTATGAATAAAGCTTCTACTTCTAATGCTGCAGCCCATCCTCCAAATAGACAGTAAGTTTTAATACTAAATGTAATAAGTACAATCCTGACTATCGGCACAGTACATAAATACACTTAATCGCTAGCATCACACCAAAATATTGTAAATATTAGAGTTTACCTGAAAAGCTGTATAGAAAACCACGACCTACCCCCCCCCCTAACCTTGGGAGTGTAGGAGGACAAGCATGTAATAGCATTTATTGCTTTTTAATTACAATTAATACTTAACCTGTAGCTATATTAATATTACAATTTTATAAAACTAATAAAACAAACCTAAAGTCTTTCAATAAATCATAAAGTAACTCAAGATATTTTCAAATTTTGTATAAAATCTCTATTGTTTAATAAAACTAAAAAAGAAATTCTTTATATTTAAAACTTGTGCATATAGAACGGAACGTAAAATGTTTAGGTTTAAGTTTTCGAGCATATTAACAAATAATGAGAATATATGAGGGAGGTAAATGTAACAGCACAATTAAGTGTATTTATGTACTATGCAGTCAGGAATGTACTTATTACATTCAGTTTTAAAACGTACTGTCTATTCCGAATAAGGGTTGAATGTACTTATTACAGTCAGTTTTAAAACGTACTGTCTATTCCGAGGAAGGGTTGAATGCTGAAAATGACGTAGCCTAGTCATTTGTTTCACCCCCCGAAGTGCACACTATTATAAGTTAGTTGTGACGTGAAAGTAAACATGTCTTTACCTTAAATGCATGTCTAAGAAAATTAGCCCTTAAATTTAATACCTCGCACACTTAACCACAAGAACCAATTAATAGACCTTCATTACAAAAATTCTGCAACATACTCACCTTTGGAATACTGTTTTCTACGCCAGAAATAAGACAAATGATTATTGCCCTGCGTATTTTTTTTTTTTTTTTTTTTTAACTATAAAGGATCTATACCTTAACCAGGTACACGGATCCTTGGCTAATGTTCCCTTACCCTAGGCTTAAGAACCAAAAACATTTATGCTTAATTTGAATAACTAAAATGTAACTACCCACTTCTTCCAAGAAACTCCCTGTTGCCTGAGCCATAAGATCCAAGGAAGCTTAAAAAATACCCAAACTTTAACAAGAGTAACAGAGAAGGAAAGATGCTGTTATTATGTTCTCACCTTGAGAGCTCCGTAGCCTCCGGTACGGGCGAACATCTCCTTCAGGTAAGCCAGATTGTTGATAGCAGCGGCCCAGGGCACGTACTCTGTCTCCTGACCCAGGTAGTTGTACACCCCTAGAGCAGTGTCGTACTCTACTTGACCTGTGTGGGACGAGGGTGAAAACTGCCTAAGATTTTTAATGATCTGGATCCCAGTGGGTATATGGCATTCGGAATTTCAATAGACTTTGAAGAAATATTTTCATTTAATGCTCTTATTCCTTAGCTCTTCTGGAGCTGCAACCAGATATGGACTCCATGAGTATAGACTGAAGATATGTTTTTGTTAGCTCATGCTGCCATGACGTATACGTCTTCACTCTCTCATATACATTAACTTTACATTTATTTTGATAGATTAGGTGTGGGCCTATGAGTGGTCAACATCATAATGACAAATGATCCTCGGCCAACCTACCTGCTTTGGCGAGGTTCATGGCGTCATCGATAATCTGAGCTCTGTTGATGGTGTGGATGACCCGGTGGTCAGCGAGCAGTTGCTGGATAAGCAGGTTCCAGTTGTGGAGATCGTAGTTAACTCTGTAATAACCCGTCTCTCGCAGGTTGAAGATGACCCAATGGTCCTTGTTGGGCAGGGACGGGATGGTGATGTGTGTCTCGGACTCCTTCATCCACACCTTGACCTGTGTATTGTTGAAGTTGGGATCGTCCCCACCTGTGTAGGTCAACGGCACCCACCACTTGTAGACGTGGGTGTCCTCCGAGACCAATGCTTCCTTTACCAAGAGGAACCGTTCCTGTCAATCAACAAATATTAAAATCACGTGAAATAATGCAATCAATTTCTTGTAGTTTACCATTTTCATTGTACTTCTGTGAGAAATATTTATTATTCATTTAGCAAACGTCAGGAGCTAGCCTTCCAGTTACGTATATGAAGCTCCATATTTACTTATCACTTCTTAATTTTACGTTTACTGAAGCTTTAGAAATCTCCACTCACTGGTTTTGTGTTGAGCAACCTCTGGTGGCTATTAAGGCAACACAATAACTTTCTGACCAATCAGCAAGAATACTTGAGTCCTACCTTGAGGTGCTTCCGGGGCTTAGCGTCCCCGCGGCCCGGTCGTCGACCAGGCCTTCTGGTTGCCGGACTGATCAACCAGGCTGTTGGACGCGGCTGCTCGCAGCCTGACGTATGAGTCACAGCCTGGTTGATCAGGTATCCTGAACATAGTCCAAGACTAAAGAATACTCTTTGTGTAGATACACCCAGAAGTTCAGTACACGTCTCTGTGTATGTGTCCCTAAATTTAAATTTTGCCCCGAGGGGCGAGTTTATTGGGCAGCGCCACTCATCTTGTGAGTGGACACACCGCCATAGCAGCATGTCCCTGTTGTCTCCTTTTATGCTCAGACTATATAACAACTGTTGTCTTAAATATTTAAAATGTTCCACAAATGCTCAAATCGTTTTCAATCCGTTGTTAAGTTTTGGGTAGCGGAAAAACTGACCCTCACCTGGGAGACAATAGCGGAAGTACCGTCCGGGCTCCTGTCCACCATTATGACGGGGTAACCCATCTGCAGCGTCCAGGTGTCCATGATGGTCTTGACAGTGAGGTGAAGGGGCAGTGTACCGTCCTGATGGGCCGCCTCCGTCAGGTGTTCCCAAAGGTCGTCCTGCTCGGCGTTCCCATACTTGCTGCTCAACAAAAGATAACGTTATCTAAACACAGATAAAAGCTATTTTATATTTGTTTTTAAGGGAGAATTTGGACACCAGATGGGCATCACATATCACCAGTAAAGACTTACAAGGCATCGAGGTAGTTGCTCAAGCCCTTCCTGAAGGTGTCCTCAGTTAGGAAGTGGTTCATCATGCGGATGATGGACGCACCTATGGAATGAAACCCATTTTAAAATATATTTTTGTATCTCAGAAAATTAATAATAATAATAATCTAATACAAACTCTTCCTGTTTCATTCTTCGATGTTTCACTTGTTTTTCTTTATTTACATCCACAGAGAGCTTTTATATCAGTATTTCCTTCATACATGTAAAACATAGACAATAATTTTGTAAATCATATGATCATGACTGCATTCCACTAGTAGCATTCCAACCCGTTCTCGCAAATTCGTATAGTCAATATTGACTTATTAAATACGTGCATAGGTGATATACTAAACATAATAGATACCCTTAAAAAGATTCATAGAAAACACCGACCTTACCTAACCTTCTTAGTATGTTAAGATAAGCATATTATTGCTTCGTAATTACAATTATTACTTAACCTATACCTATAATAAGTTAAGTAACAATTGTAATTACGAAGCTATATGATGCTTATCTTAACATACTAACAAGGTTAGGTAAGGTCAGTGTTTTCTATGAATCATTTTAAGGATATCTATTATGTTTAGTATGTCACCTATGCACTTATTTAATAAGTCAATATTGACTATACGAATTTGCGAGGACGGGTTGCAACATTCATGACGATAACCGCAAATATGCCTTGAAATGGTAGCAGGAATAATTTCATGAGTCAAGGTAAACTCAGTTACATTAACTAGACTTATCATACCAATATTTTCATCATACATGAAAACCCAGACAATAAATTTTGTAATCCTCATATGATGATAACCGCATTCCCATTTGAATCAACAATTGATGATAACCGCTGTCTAAGGGTTAAGAGAAGTATTCCAAGCGTTTAAAAATAAAGTATAAATTTGAAATTAATAAATTTTCATTAATAATCATAAAAATAACCATTCTTGCCATTGTTTAAAAATATGTGACAAGAATCCAGAACTAAAAAGTTAGGCCAAAATAAAAATACATAACCGATCCCAGTACATGCTGCATTATAATTAACTTTATTCTTACCATTTGGTACTGAGATGAATTTATCCGGTAGGTAAATGAAGGCAGCATCTTTACTTGCTAGGTCTTCCTCAAAGACAAAGCTAACTAGGGAACACAGTCTTGCCAGGGATTCCAGGAGAACACACTACTACTCGAGACTCGCCAATCACCAACTAAAGAGTTCTTTTTTATATAGTCGAATAATTTGTTTTAATCCTAAGTTTATTTGACTTTTAAAATTCTATATTTTACCTTGAGGGAGTTACTGAATAAATTCCACAACTGTCCTTGAGTTCCCAAAATATTGTTTTATTGTAAATTTAATTTATATATATATATATATATATATATATATATATATATATATATATATATATATATATATATATATATATATACATGCATATATATACATGTATATATATATATACATGTATATATATATATACATGTATATATATATACATGTATATATATACATGTATATATATATATACATGTATATATATATACATGTATATATATATATACATGTATATATATATATATATATATACATGTATATATACATGTATATATATATATATATATATATATATATATATATATATATATATATATATATATATATATATACATGTATATATATATATATATATATATATATATATATATATATATATATATATATATATATATATATATATGTATATATATATATATATATATATATATATATATATTTTTTTTTTTTTTTTTTTTTTTTTTTTGAGATATATACAAGAGTTGTTACATTCTTGTACAGCCACTAGTACGCGTAGCGTTTCGGGCAAGTCCTTAATCCTATGGTCCCTGGAATACGATCCACTGCCGCGAAGAATCGTTTTTTCATCCAAGTACACATTTTACTGTTGCGTTAAACAGAGGCTACAGTTAAGGAATTGCGCCCAGTAAATCCTCCCCGGCCAGGATACGAACCCATGACATAGCGCTCGCGGAACGCCAGGCGAGTGTCTTACCACTACACCACGGAGACTGTATATATATATATACAACCTTAGAACACTTTCCCACCAGGAGATTCGAACCCTAGCCAGCACAGAAGCCTTACTAACTATGCTCTAGTTGCCCTTAGGAGGTAGTGATCTCTGGGGGATTTAAATACTCCTAAATTACCATCTCTTTTAAGGGTCTGAGCTGTGGTGCAGTGGGTTAAAGGCGTATCAGTTATGCCAATTGCTGTAAGGCTTCTGTGCTGGCTAGGGTTCGAATCTCCTGGTGGGAAAGTGTTCTAAGGTTGTATAACTTCTCTTGCGTGTTTAGGCAAGATGTGCATTATATATATATATATATATATATATATATATATATATATATATATATATATATATATATATATATATATATATATATATATATATATATGTCGTACCTAGTAGCCAGAACGCACTTTTTGGCCTACTATGCAAGGCCCGATTTGCCTAATAAGCCAAGTTTTCATGAATTAATATATTTTCTCTAATTTTTTTCGTATGAAATGATAAAGCTACCCATTTTATTATGAATGAGGACAATTTTTTTTATTGGAGTTAAAATTAACGTAGATATATGACCGAACCTAACCAACCCTACCTAACCTAACCTAACCTATCTTTAAAGGTTAGGTTAGGTTAGGTAGCCGAAAAAGTTAGGTTAGGTTAGGTTAGGTAGGTTAGGTAGTCGAAAAACAATTAATTCATGAAAACTTGGCTTATTAGGCAAATTGGGCCATGCATAGTAGGCTGAGAAGTGAGTTCTGGCTACTAGGTACGACATATATATATATATATATATATATATATATATATATATATATATATATGTCGTACCTAATAGCCAGAACGCACTTCTCAGCCTACTATTCAAGGCCCGATTTGCCTAATAAGCCAAGTTTTCATGAATTAATGTTTTTTCGTCTACCTAACCTACCTAACCTAACCTAACCTAGCTTTTTTTGGCTACCTAACCTAACCTTACCTATAAATATAGGTTAGGTTAGGTTAGGTAGGGTTGGTTAGGTTCGGTCATATATCTACGTTAATTTTAACTCCAATAAAAAAAAATTGACGTCATACATAGAGAAAAGGGTTGCTTTATCATTTCATAAGAAAAAAATTATAGTAAATATATTAATTCAGGAAAACTTGGCTTATTAGGCAAATCGGGCCTTGAATAGTAGGCTGAGAAGTGAGTTCTGGCTACTAGGTACGACATATATATATATATATATATATGTCGTACCTAGTAGCCAGAACGCACTTCTCAGCCTACTATGCAAGGCCCGATTTGCCTAATAAGCCAAGTTTTCATGAATTAATTGTTTTTCGACTACCTAACCTACCTAACCTAACCTAACCTAACTTTTCCGGCTACCTAACATAACCTAACCTATAAAGATAGGTTAAGTTAGGTTAGGTAGGGTTGGTTAAGTTCGGTCATATATCTACGTTAATTTTAACTCCAATAAAAAAATATTGACCTCATACATAATGAAATGGGTAGCTTTATCATTTCATAAGAAAAAAATTAGAGAAAATATATTAATTCAGGAAAACTTAGCTTATTAGGCAAATCGGGCCTTGCATAGTAGGCCGAGTACGACGTTCTGGCTACTAGGTACAAAATATATATATATATATATATATATATATATATATATATATATATATATATATATATATATATATATATATATATATATACATATATATATATATATATATATATATATATATATATATATATATATATATATATATATATATATATATATAATGCAACAATGATCACAAAATCACTGATCCAAGTATGCAGAATAACCACATGTGAAAAATAGAAAATGCTTAACGCGTTTTCGGCTAATTCGCCTTCATCAGAGCAAAGTAGAATGAAGATCATCTTCATTCTACTTTGCTCTGATGAAGGTGAATTAGCCGAAAACGCGTTAAGCATTTTCTATTTTTCACATGTGGTTATTCTGCATACTTGGATCAGTGATTTTGTGATCATTGTTGCATATATATATATATATATATATATATATATATATATATATATATATATATATATATATATATATATATATATATATATATATATATATATATATATATATATATATATATATATATATATATATATATATATATATATATATATATATATATATATATATATATATATATATATATATATATATATATATATATATATATATATATATATATATATATATATATATATATATATATATATATATATATATATATATATATATATATATATATATATATATATATATATATATATATATATATATATATATATATATATATATATATATATATATATATATATATATGTATATATATATATATATATATATATATATATATGTATATATACATACATATATATATATATATATATATATATATATATATATATATATATATATATATATATATATATATATATATATATATATATATATATATATATATATATATATATATATATATATATATATATATATATATATATATATATATATTATATATATATATATATATATATATATATATATATATATATATATATATATATATATATATATATATATATATATATATATATATATATATATATATATAATGCAACAATGATCACAAAATCACTGATCCAAGTATGCAGAATAACCACATGTGAAAAATAGAAAATGCTTAACGCGTTTTCGGCTAATTCGCCTTCATCAGAGCAAAGTAGAATGAAGATCATCTTCATTCTACTTTGCTCTGATGAAGGCGAATTAGCCGAAAACGCGTTAAGCATTTTCTATATTTCACATGTGGTTATTCTGCATATTATATATATATATATATATATATATATATATATATATATATATATATATATATATATATATATATATATATATATATATATGTCGTACCTAATAGCCAGAACGCACTTCTCAGCCTACTATTCAAGGCCCGATTTGCCTAATAAGCCAAGTTTTCATGAATTAATGTTTTTTCGTCTACCTAACCTACCTAACCTAACCTAACCTAGCTTTTTTTGGCTACCTAACCTAACCTTACCTATAAATATAGGTTAGGTTAGGTTAGGTAGGGTTGGTTAGGTTCGGTCATATATCTACGTTAATTTTAACTCCAATAAAAAAAAATTGACCTCATACATAGAGAAAAGGGTTGCTTTATCATTTCATAAGAAAAAAATTATAGTAAATATATTAATTCAGGAAAACTAGGCTTATTAGGCAAATCGGGCCTTGAATAGTAGGCTGAGAAGTGAGTTCTGGCTACTAGGTACGACATATATATATATATATATATATATATATATATATATATATATATATATATATATATATATATATATTAGTATATTTTGGTAGCAGTCTTTCCTGTAGACATATATTATTAAATATGACCGAAAAAGTAAGATTAATAATTCTAACACGAATTTTCTCAATCTTTCGTACATTACGCTTCACTGTTGGAGGTAAATCAAAAATCTTTTCTCCAAAATTCATTTTTATTTCTAGTCTGACGCGACACGGGCGCGTTTCGTAAAACTTATTACATTTTCAAAGACTTCACAAATACACAACTGATTAGAACTTACGTCTCTCTGCTATTATATCTACATTTGAGTGAGGTGGGAGGGATGACGTGGCATATAGTGATGTGGCATTAACACAAGACAGAACATGAGGGGATATTAATAGGGTATTAAAAGTATCAACACAAGACAGAACAGAAACAATGGGTATTGAATAGAAGTGTTTGTAGAAAGCCTATTGGTCCATATTTCTTGATGCTTCTATATTGGAGCGGAGTCTTAAGGTGGGTAGAATATAGTTGTGCAATAATTGGCTGTTGATTGCTGGTGTTGACTTCTTGATGTGTAGTGCCTCGCAAACGTCAAGCCGCCTGCTATCGCTGTATCTATCGATGATTTCTGTGTTGTTTACTAGGATTTCTCTGGCGATGGTTTGGTTATGGGAAGAGATTATATGTTCCTTAATGGAGCCCTGTTGCTTATGCATCGTTAAACGCCTAGAAAGAGATGTTGTTGTCTTGCCTATATACTGGGTTTTTTGGAGCTTACAGTCCCCAAGTGGGCATTTGAAGGCATAGACGACGTTAGTCTCTTTTAAAGCGTTCTGTTTTGTGTCTGGAGAGTTTCTCATGAGTAGGCTGGCCGTTTTTCTGGTTTTATAGTAAATCGTCAGTTGTATCCTCTGATTTTTGTCTGTAGGGATAACGTTCCTATTAACAATATCTTTCAGGACCCTTTCCTCCGTAAAACGGAGGAAAGGGTCCTGAAAGATATTGTTAATAGGAACGTTATCCCTACAGACAAAAATCAGAGGATACAACTGACGATTTACTATAAAACCAGAAAAACGGCCAGCCTACTCATGAGAAACTCTCCAGACACAAAACAGAACGCTTTAAAAGAGACTAACGTCGTCTATGCCTTCAAATGCCCACTTGGGGACTGTAAGCTCCAAAAAACCCAGTATATAGGCAAGACAACAACATCTCTTTCTAGGCGTTTAACGATGCATAAGCAACAGGGCTCCATTAAGGAACATATAATCTCTTCCCATAACCAAACCATCGCCAGAGAAATCCTAGTAAACAACACAGAAATCATCGATAGATACAGCGATAGCAGGCGGCTTGACGTTTGCGAGGCACTACACATCAAGAAGTCAACACCAGCAATCAACAGCCAATTATTGCACAACTATATTCTACCCACCTCAAGACTCCGCTCCAATATAGAAGCATCAAGAAATATGGACCAATAGGCTTTCTACAAACACTTCTATTCAATACCCATTGTTTCTGTTCTGTCTTGTGTTGATACTTTTAATACCCTATTAATATCCCCTCATGTTCTGTCTTGTGTTAATGCCACATCACTATATGCCACGTCATCCCTCCCACCTCACTCAAATGTAGATATAATAGCAGAGATACGTAAGTTCTAATCAGTTGTGTATTTGTGAAGTCTTTGAAAATGTAATAAGTTTTACGAAACGCGCCCGTGTCGCGTCAGACTAGAAATAAAAATGAATTTTGGAGAAGTGATTTTTGATTTACCTCCAACAGTGAAGCGTAATGTACGAAAGATTGAGAAAATTCGTGTTAGAATTATTAATCTTACTTTTTCGGTCATATTTAATAATATATATATATATATATATATATATATATATATATATATATATATATATATATATATATATATATATATATATATATATATATATATATATATATATATATATGCTTTCATACATTTCGTATTCACATCTGAAATGGTGGTTTCGAAAAATTCTCAAGCGTCTTAATACATCCACTAGACAGTATGACATTGTTATTGCCATAATTAGGCTGGGATATCGATATCTATGGCAGGTGGCTGCAGGTAATGAATCCCTCAATGGTGAACATTCCAACTGTAAACTATGCGAACAAGAGCTAGGACATACTCTCCAACACCTTATCTGTGATTGCCCTGTTATCTGTGATTTCAGACCAAATGGTATGAGGTACTTTGAGCTCTGTAATTACCTCATACACTCAGGAATATTGGAAGATATTCTTGTGCTGTACCCAGATTTTGTTAGCGGAGGCTAATAGAATCGTATTTTAATGAATATGGACAATTCAGTTGTTTTTTTTAATTCTAGATTTTATAACACCCGATTCATTATTTTGAACACCTACCCACCTATCCATTCACTCAGTTTTTATAAACAAACTTCGAAATGACACGAATACTCCCTATTTACTCTGTCAAGTTAATGAGTTATAAGTTTGTAGACTGACGTTTGTGTTATATATGTTGAAGTTGTCTTACAAACAGATTGGTAAATCAAGGGATCTCAAATGTATCCAAATCTCTCACCTTTTGCATAAGAGATCCTGTCGAAGATCTGGCTGATCTCATCCGGGTGCCCGACGGGGATACTGATGGGGTGGGAGGACTCTAGGCTGTCCAAACTGAACACGATCTGTACCTCGTTCAGCACAAACTGCTCCATCACCTGCCAGGTCGGCTCCACCTGCATACACACACACACCACACTCTCGTAACCTTTCTCAAAACATATAAGCGTAAGCAAATAATGTATACAGTTTACGGGCTCACTATAGCCCGTGCTATATGGACATTTCGTTCTGAGTAGTTAAATCTAAAACAACAACGACTATATACAGCGTTACAACCCCACTCCGGTGTGGGGTTGTAAGTCTACTACGGGCTCACCAGTCCTGCGTAACAGTGAACATCAGCATTATCCTCACTTCTATAAGACGTAATTGAAGTCCTCAGATTAGGCAAAATTGTAATTAATTTTGTCAATAAAGATGTTAATAATGATTACCATAAACCGTACTACTTGGAACTTTATGTTCCGAGTAGCTGAATCTAAAACAACAACTATATGTAGATATCAGTCACAGTGCCATATATGCACTGATGTAAATAATTTATTAGGAATTACATTTTCATTTTTGTCATAGTTAATATCCACAGGGGCCAGTCTCCTGACGCTAGGCTGCTGAAGCCAGTCTAATGACGGCATCTGAATCTATGTTTTTGACGCCAGTTTCATGATACCAGACTTCTGACGCCAGTAGTCTCCCGTGTCTTCTGGCACCAAAATTCTGACAAAGGGCTTCTGACGCCTGTTTTCTGACGCCAGTCTTTCAGCGTCAGGATTCAGACGCCAGTCTTCTGACGCCAGTCTCCTGATGCCAGTCTCTCCTCAAAGTCAAATGGCAATTCACACGTTTCAAAATTCACAGTTTTGTCCCTGGTGAATATATCGCAGGTCATGCAGGCGATATAAGAACACTCCACAAACTAAGTTAATTAATAACCACAAGCTAGGTATTGACAACTTTACAAACAGGGTACTGACAACTTTACAAGCTAAGTATTGACAACTTTACAAGCTAGGTATTGATAACTTTACAAGCTAGTAATTGGCAACTTTACAAGCTAAGTATTGACGGCGTTACAAGCAAGGTATTGACAACTTTACAAGCTAGGTATTGGCAATTTTACAAGCTAAGTAATGACAACCACCCGTGTTAAACAATTTATATTTATCTTCCCTGTCAACTCCTTTGAGAATTTTGTAGGTAGTAATCATGTCTTCTCCCGAGCTGTTCTGTTTTCCAGCGACGTGAGGTGCATTTCACGCAGCCTTTCCTCGTAACTCATACCTCATAGTTTTGGGACTAGCCTAGTGGAATACCTCTGAACTTTTTCCAGCTTAGTCTTGTGCTTGACAAGATACGGGCTTCATGCTGGGGCCGCATACTCCAGGATCAGTCTTACATATGTGGTATACAAGGTTCTGAAGGATTCCTGACACAGGTTCCTGAAGGCAGTTCTGATGTTAGCCAGCCTTGCATACACCGCTAATGTTATTCTTTTGATGTGGGCTTCAAGAGATACTTTTGGGGTGATATATGTGTATATGTATGTATCGATGTGTGCATGTGTATGTATGTATGAATGTATATGTTTGTATGTATGTATATATGTATGTGTGTGTGTGTGTATGTTTATATCAATGTATGTATATGATTTGTATGTATATATGTATGTGTGTGTGTGTATGTTTGTATCCATGTATGTATATGTTTGTATGTATGTACGAGCTTATGTTCCTAAAATGCATATCATCAGGAGAATAAAACACTTACTGAGAGTCACACAAGTTTTAAACAAGACATTGACATAACAACTACGGTTTCACAACTAGGGATTCACAACAAGAGGGTCACAACTAGGAATTCCCAACAAGAGGTTCACAACTAGGGACTCACAACTAGGGGCTCACAAATATGGGATCATATCTAAAGGTTCACAACTAATGACTCGTAACTAGGGGTTCACAAATAGTGGCTCACAACTAGGGGTTCACAACTAGGAGCTCGCAAATAGGAGTTAAAAGCCAGTGGTTCACAACTAGAGGATCACATCTAAAGGTTTACAACTAAGAGTTAACATCCAGGGGTTGACATTAAGGAATTCACAGCTAGGGATACACAACAAGGGGTTCACTGCAAGGCGTTCCCAACTAGGGGTTCACATTTATGTTCACAGCTAGAGGTTTCAACTAAGGGTTCACATTTAGGGGTTCAAAAGTAGTTTACCTTAAGAAGGTCACAACTAGGGGTTCAGAACAAGAAGTTCACGTCTAGGGGTTCAAATCAAGATGTTTTAAAGGGGTTCACAACACAAAAATCAGAATTATAGACTAACAAAGGGTTCATAACTAGAGATTCCCATAAGTGGGTTCACAATTAGGATTTCGCAACTAGAGGTTCACAACAAGGGATTCACATCTAGGGATTTACAACAAGGGATTTACAACTAAGGGTTTACATCTGGGGCTTCACAACAAAGGATTCACATTAAGGAGTTCACAGTTAGGGGTTCAGAAATCGGGGTTCACAACTTTGAGTTTTCAAGTAGTGGATCACAAATTACGTTCACAAGTAGAGATTCACAACAAGGGGTTCACAAGGAGTTTACAATTAGGCTTCAAACAAGGAGTTCACAGCAATTAGTTCACCATAAGGGGTTCATAACTAGAGGTTCTTAACTAGGGGGGTCGCAACAAATGGCTCAGAACAAAGGGTTCACAACCAGGGGTTGACAACAAGGGATTCACAACTAAGGATTCGATACAAGGGCTTCACAAAAATGAGTTCACAGACTCACAGAAAGAGAACTCCACCAACAGTCTCACATCAAAAGATCTCCAACAGTCTCACAGCAAGATATCTCCACCAACAGTTTCACATCAAGATGTCTCTATTAATAGTCTCACAACAAGATATCTCCAATAGTTTCACAGCAAGATATCTCCACCAATAGTCTCACAGTAAGATATCTCCACTAATAGTCTCACAGCACATCTCACACATCTCCACCAATAGACTCTCAGCAAGACTTGCAACAATAAACGTCAATACAAAATTCTCGCAACACAATTTTCCATATAAACAATTCAAAAGAATATGCTTAGGATATGAGACGTAAAGAAGTTATTAACACCTGGAGACCTCATTTACTAGTCTCGCCGGCTTGAATGTCCCCTTTTGATAATTACTTCCTCAAGGAGAGCCTATGTTTCAAGACTCTTCTTGACGAAGGCTCTGACAACATTCATGAAACTCACTCAAGACTCACAAATTGTCACAAGGGTTATATGAGTCACAGAACCGACTCATAAAACTAGACACCCAAGCCCCTCAAGACTCAAACATCATAGATTTGAATTCACTCTAGAAATTTTGACGAGAAATTCTGTTGGCCACAAGTCACAGGAATATTATGATTCAAATAAGAAACTCCCACGAGAAACTCTGCTTCACCCACACATACCCAATCACTTGGACTGGGCGGTAGAGCGACGGTCTCGCTTCATGCAGGTAGGCGTTCAATCCCCGACCGTCCATGTGGTTGGGCACCATTTCTTCTCCTCGTCTCATCCCAAATTTTTATCCTGATCCCTTCCAAGTGCCTTCCAAGTGCTATATAGTCGTAATGGCTTGGCGCCTTCTCCTGATAGTTCCCACACTTCCACCTTGCTATTCATGATATACATTAGTGACTGACAAACTATCTACCAAGAACTCACATGATTGATGCCAATGTACTCGACGTAGGAGGCGAAGCCTTCGTTGAGCCAGAGGTCGGTCCACCACCTGGGCGTGACCAGGTTACCGAACCACTGGTGGGCCAGCTCGTGAGCCACCACCGCCACTACGTACTGCTTGTTGGAGGCGGCCGACACGCCGGGGTCGTAGAGCATGGCCGTCTCCCTGGAGTCAATGTCAGTTAATAGTGGACACACGGACTAACAGGTCATGTTATTGGCGATTGGCTCGCCCTAGGCAGTTAATATGTCTGATGGACACCTTGTTTGATGGCCACTTTATATGATGGCCACTTTGTCTGTTGGACACTTTGTCTGTTGGACACTCGATTGTTGCGCAGCATGGCAGTTACTGCGTATCAAAAACAATAGTTTTTTAAATAATCAATAATGCATTTTGAAACTCCACTATACATGAAAAGTTCAAATACAGTTGCAACCAACTGTTGAAGGGTGCTTTGTTGGAGGCAATTGATAGTCCCTACATCCAACAGCGCCCTTGTTTCCCAGGAACTTATTTCAATTACACTATAAATTTCAAGTACCAATTTGGAAAGATTAAGATAAACACATGAATATTAACTGTTACTACGAGTGAATTGTGGAGTTTTTGGTCTTTCAGGCTCTATCTAAAAGTAACATAAAAAGCTTCGTATCTTCATCCACTACAAGGTGCAAGGTATTTATTTTTGTATAACTTACCACGTCCTGAAACTTGTAAAAGCTATATTTCTCCTGAAGTCGGTAGTTCTACAGTAATAGTGGAGATCCGCCATGCATTTACTATCTATTATTCACGTAATATTAAAATTGATTAATGTAAAAGTATTGTGACTACTAAGCCGTTTGTAATTATATATTGTGCGCTTACACGTAGTTAGGCCTAGGAAAGGTTAGGTAAGGAATTTTGGTTATGCTGATTTAAGGAATGTTTACGCTGCAGTCCCCTTGGTAAAGTGGTAACACACTCGCCTGGCGTTTCGCGAGGCTTTGGCCTGGGTTCGAATCCTGGCCAGGGAGGATTTACTGCTCGCCAATCTGTTCACCCAACAGTAAAATGGGTTGTTAAGCGATATGGCGGGTCGTATTCCGGAAAAAAATTAGGATTAAGGACGTGCCCGAAACGCTATGCGTGCTAGTGGCTGTACAAGAATGTAAGCACTCTTGTATATATAAATAAATAAATAAAATACAGGCTGAAAGTGATTGAAACACGTTTTCAGCCATAGCTTTGAACATGGTTAAATGGGCTGTAAGTCAAATACCGATGTGTGTAGATTTGTATATCAGAATTTGGCTTCTACGTTGTGGATGGGGGGCGGTGTGCAAGACAAACATATAAATTGTGACACTAGCTCTCCACATATGTCAGTTGCTTAATTTAGAAACTGTACTTATGGTCGATCTCGAACCCATTGTTGATGTGACGACTTATACTGAATTTTGTAACTAGCTCATCAAGATTGTAACTTGCTTAGCTAAATGAATTGTGGGGTTCAGTCCCTGAGCCCATTATGTGCCTCTGTAACCCTTTCCACTACCGCCCACAAGATGGGTATGGGGTGCATAATAAATTAACTAAACTAAAAACTAAACGTTGTGAATTAGACGGCCCTTTGTTTTGATGAGGGGTTGGTAATAGGGCAGACCAATGGAATATTATCTAACACAGTACACAGTTACAAACCCAATAAGATTTCATCTTAGATTCAACAGAGTAGAAGAAGTTGTTAAACACATGGAGCAAAATCTTACTGAAGTTCTCAAACTTCTTACTCAAACAGTTCTCGAATAGTGCTTCACTAAATAAACTCTCTTCGAATTGCAATTCTGTAAATGCTTCACGCTCATATTAAAAATACAAAAATCCAAAACGGAGCCTAAACATGTAACCTAACCTACGCCTAACTATACATAGAACTTTGATATATTATATCACTAGGGAGGGGAGGGTTACCTGGCAATGCCCGAGTCTGTCATTCTCTCTTCTATCTATCTATCTATCTATCTATCTATCTATCTATCTATCTATCTATCTATCTATCTATCTATCTATCTATCTATCTATCACTCCATCCAGCCATCCGTATTTTTTCTCAATCTATCCATCCATCTATATATTCACATATTCATCTTTCTATCCATCCATCCATCTATAATCATACAGGAAGAAACGTCGTTTACACTTAAAAATAAATCTTAAATTTAGTTTTTGTTCACAACTAACTGGAGCTTTTGGAGGTCCTCGTCCACATATTATTAAACCCAGTTATTTGTAGTCTATTTGTAAGTTATAAGTCCAATGTTATCCATAGTCACCTACACCAGTCTTTCAGGTCCTCCCTTTGGAGGAGGAGGACGAGTCCCTATATCATTCATATTCTCTTCAACAGATTCGCCTTCAGGTTACGAGTGCCCTTAAAGAGGACTTTGTATTGCCTCACGTGTAGGTCACGAGTCCCTAGTTCCCCATGCCCCCCCCCCCCCCCCCATCAACAAAGCCCTTGTGGTCCTTACCTGTAGGTAATGAGTCCCCAGTTCTCCATGGCTCCCGCAGAGAAGTCCGGGATGGCGACCATGTCCTGCTTGGGGAGCGGGTAGGATTGGTTGAAGTAGTCCTCGAAGTGGGTGAGAATGGGCGGCCCGACAAGCCTGGCGTACTCCGCCTGCTCCAGCGCCGACCCCCTCGCCCACACTGCCAGGGCCCCAGAGTGTGGTTACGTAACATGCTGTCACAGCTTCACGCTCTTTTATTATCTGTCACATTGTCACCTCGTCTCTCGCACTTTCTTTTTTCTCAAGTATAATGTAGTTATAGGTGTAACAGCTAATATAATATCCACGTATGCTTTACTAAAGCAAGGCATAATTTTATTCAGTGTAGGTGATAACATTGTTTCGTACAAAAATCTCAAAAACACAATAATATGTAGATTAGATAGCTATAACGCAAGTAAATCTATTGTAGTATAGTGCAAAATATATGGGTATAATATCCCATGATAAATAATGGTATTGAGAACTAAAGCACAGTACAGAATAATTTATCAAAATGATAACAGTGCATGAATTGGTCAGATGAAGCATGGGTTTAGTGCACGACATGTCATGGGATGAAGACCTACCCCTGAACAAGGTGTGGTTGTTGGCGGTGGTGATGGCGAGGCTGGCGAAGTCTGACACGACAAAGGCGACCAGGTAGGTGGACATCGGGACGCTTGTGTCGTAATGATCCCACACCCAACCCTCCTGATCCTCCCTGCATCACCATGGCAGCATGGGTGGTGGAGATGATGGGGATATATATAAAAGTATCCATCTATGTAATCGCTTTCAATCTCTCGCCTTATACTAAATGAAAATCCACAGAATTCCTCAATAACATTCCACAATGCAAAAAATGACCCTGAAACATCCAGGAAACTAATCATTATAACTGCTGTTCCCGATGTAACTGATACCTCTTTCTGGTTAATGATTAATATGATTACACATATTAAACATTCACACTGAAACATTGCCTGTGTAGTTTACAGCACTTACGCTGAAACCATGACCGAGGTGTGAGTGCTTACATGGGTATAGTCTCGATGATGGGCATGTTAGATATAGAGGACATGTTGGTGGTGCGACCCAGGTAGACCTCGAAGGTGGCCTTGAGACTGGGCTCGTCGAAGCACGGGAAGGCTCGTCGCGCGTCCGTCGCCTGGAACTGCGTCACCGCCAACGTCCTGGAAGGAATTATGTTGCTCATTGCTGGTTAGCTTTAAAAAGTAGATCCCTACCCTTGTGTGGTAGTGCATAACAGAAAATTGCATTTACATATTCGTACATTGAAACATGTATAGTCTAATGTAGTTGATCGTAACCGTGATATATATATATATATGTCGGAAAATCCGACACCATTTAATAATATCATACAGACAGATAAGAGCTGTGTTGTATAAACAAGTTACCCATAGAAAACGTAACTTGTAGTGGAATTACCGTCTAAAGAAAACGGGATATCATCACCACATACCATTATAATTCACCAGCTATTCTGCTGGGAATTATTCTTAAATACATTAGTCTTTGGACTTTACCATCATAAAAACATCTTATATAAATTAACTTAATTATCAATATTAAAGTAGAGTAAATGTGACCCTTCTATCACGTTCTGAAATCTGGACAATGTAAGCCAGGCGTCAGAGTGGGAGGAAGGAGGCGGGCATTGTTGTGTCACCTCCGAGACACGGGAGCAAATTCGGCTCCTGTTAAATTTATTTGGACCTTCGGAACCGGAATATTCGGTCCTATGAACCCACATTTGGTCATCTTAGTACCGGATGAACCAGTTAACCAGTGGATTCATTAAATATACTAGTGCAGTGTTATTTAAACAAGGCCAGCAGTCAAGACGGCAGCGTAGCCTCGAGGGAGCTCAGGAGCCTCCCTCAGCCCAGTTCAGCTTCGTCAGCGGTTTCATGCACACCCACAGATATTTGGTGGCGTGTTATTTCGTGAAATGACAGCGCTAATATTGAAACCAGCCAAATTAGTGACTGTGTCTTCGCGAGATTGTTCACGGATTTCGTGGTGTTACATTTCGTGAGAGATTATCTACGAATTTTGTGGACTTTATTTCGCGAGGTCACTAATAATATTTAATACTTCTAGATAATATTAGAAGTTTTATAGAGGCTAATTAAGAGGCTATTATCAATAATTGTGTATATTATTTCTCCAAAATAGAGAATTATTTAATATATATTGCACTAGTGATCACAATATATTTACTAATTGCCAACCCACAACAGGGTAGGATATGACTAGTTGAACTATTATTGTTCATCCTAGTCCCATTATTACCATAGTCAGTTGTACTATATTGATTAACCTAACACCATTAATGAATGGTCCAGACCCTATTTTGGGTGTAATTTTTATCAACTCGAGTTGAGTTGTATATATAATAATTTACTTATGATCATTACACCTTTGAGTGATTAATTAGTGTCTCTTCCATCCTAGGGTGATATAGAGGAGCTAACCTAAAGGTACTTCCAGTGACACTGGTTTATCACTCAAATCATTAGTGTGTATGATTGTATATATATAATGTGTATTAATTTTAAGTGCTAACCTCTAGTAGAGGTAGGATTATTGCCTAGTGAGTGCAGAATTTACCCTAGGCTACCATTAGTGTTTGTTCAGTATTATGAGCAGCCCAAGTACAAGTCCCACAAGGCTTCACCAACTAGCCAGTATGGATAATGCAGGGAGAATGAAAAGAACCCTTGCAGGTCTTAAAGGCCACTTAACAAGACAGATCAAGAAATGTGAAGATTTGTCACAACAATCTCAAGTTGATTATGCTGACCTGGAAAGCTATTATCAAGCAGCTGCAGGTAAATTTGAGCAAATCAAATGCCAAATAGCTGTCCTTGTGGGGACAGACTACTACCATCAATTCATTGGTAGCCCTACTAAACATCAGGGCATAACCATGTTAAACTCTGCAGGAGGTAAATTACTCTCAGGCCCAGTATCAAGCCTGAGGAGACCTATGCCTGCAGATAAACAATACCAGTAGAAATCTAATTTTGTCAGCTGATTATATTTCTCCAGTAGCATTATACTAAGGAGATTACAGCTGACTATAGTAACAGAGGTTGATGTTAGTATCATCATTTAAAGCTGAAGATGAGTTCATGAGGCCTCAGTGGCAAATCAGTGAACAGTAGCCTAAAACAGCTACAAGTCACTGCGACCAATGTCACTGAACCCACTGCAGTCTCAGAACCATACTTTACTTTAATGATGAGCTATTCAATCTTCTGAATCAATTAACTAAATTAAACCCCAATAAATATGATGACTGATTTGATACATTTATTATTTAATCAAGATGTATTCCATGGGCCTCAGTGTTTATATCAGTGACCAGTTACCTGAAGAAACTTCAAGTTATATCTAATGTCACTGATCTCACTGCAGTCCCTGAATCATACTTGACTGTAGTACTTGATCACATTCAGTCTTCTGGGTTAAATAATATGTAATAAGGCTTGAATATTAGCCTTTCAAGAGTTGACAGGGAAATGAAATTGCATTAGACTTCTAACCCCTGCAACTCTAGTACGGGACATCCGTCCTGTATGAACAGACACACAAATGTGTGATTACTAACTACTAACATCAAATTAATCTAATAATTCGAAGGAGGAGTATCGGTGTTCGTCTGTTCTAAATAGGACTTCGACCCGTGAGCAGCCCCCTGGGGAATTATGTCGGAAAATCCGACACCATTTAATAATATCATACAGACAGATAAGAGCTGTGTTGTATAAACAAGTTACCCATAGAAAACGTAACTTGTAGTGGAATTACCGTCTAAAGAAAACGGATATCATCACCACATACCATTATAATTCACCAGCTATTCTGCTGGGAATTATTCTTAAATACATTAGTCTTTGGACTTTACCATCATAAAAACATCTTATATAAATTAACTTAATTATCAATATTAAAGTAGAGTAAATGTGACCCTTCTATCACGTTCTGAAATCTGGACAATGTAAGCCAGGCGTCAGAGTGGGAGGAAGGAGGCGGGCATTGTTGTGTCACCTCCGAGACGTGTGGAGCAAATTTGGCTCCTATCATTCTGGACAATGTCGGCCAGACGTCAATAGAATGGAGTGTTAAACAGCCATTGTATATTGAGACCAGAGGCTCACACAGGAGCAAATTCGGCTCCTGTTAATTTTACTTGGACGTAGTGTTATGGAAACCAAAGGTACCATCTCCAACACGATGTCTACAATTCAAGTTAAGTCTATCCGAAACCCGTTTATCATTCATTTATGGCCATTAATGTCAGGATATAGGGTGACCCGGTTAGATCACGTGGAAGCCTCAAACTAAAGGTAATTAAGCCAGGTCTTAAATGTTCCATATAGTGTTTTCTCTGATATACTTGTCATATATAGGATTCTGGCTTCACAGCTAGCGCACTTTTGACAGGTCAAGACGAGGATGCAAGATTTTGTGCACCAGTTACTGGGTGATATGGAAGCTACCTCAAAGAGGATAATTTGGTGTCTACACCCTAGTTATACCTGGTGGACTAACCTGCTGTACTATAAGATAAGGAACCTCTTCAATGTATGTAGTCTATTCTTGTAGTTTGATTGGCTGCATATATATAAACTAATAAACCCCCCTAATGTGTAGAGGATCGATTTGTGAGATTATGAGATTATTGCAGAAATACAGTCCACTTATCATTATACAAATTGCTATCGAAGTATATAAATTAACGTAAATATAAATTCATATAAATTAAATAAATATAAATCTCACAGGTCGGTTCCCACAATATATATATATATATATATATATATATATATATATATATATATATATATATATATATATATATATATATATATGTGTGTGTGCTTCAGCTTAAAGTTTAGACCCAGTTTCTTGTGTATGACCCTCTGTCCTGTGTGCCAGTGAATACGAACCTAATCCTCACTCTAATAAGACCTAATTGAATTACTCAGATTAGGCAAAATTGTAATTATTTTTTTGTCTATAAATCTGTTAATAATAATAATGTTTTCTGGGAGACATAAGATGCACGTCATGAACAACAGAACAAGTGAGAGAGGCTTCGACAATGAACAGTATGGACACTCAATTTGTATAAATATTCTACATTAGCTAATCTCAATAAATATCACATATTTAAGAATCGCAAGTAAAATTAAAAATATAAAGAAAACAAAATAAGAAATCGATCCAGAAGTCACTGACGTATGAGACAAGAATACTGCCCCAGCATTCGAGGACATCCTGGAAGGAAACCTTGTTATATCTTGCATCAACAAAAGTCTCAAATGGATAGAGTATTCCTTACGTTGGAATCTACAGGAATAGTCTAGCAGACCTAAGGTGCCTTTCTTCGTAAATAAATTTAAAGTCAGATGTTCATAAATATTTAATGGGTCAAAAATATATATCATTTACATATTAAATAAAAGCTAGAATGATGTTTAAAGTATACTAGGGAGTTTAACAATATGGAATTAAACCAGCAGGCACAGGCAGGCTCGGAGAGTAACCGACCCAGATAGCCCTCCCCCCATCCCCCCATGAGGAAGTTTGGGTCATCAACAAAGCATTTGGATAGAGAAGTGGCCAAGTTGACTGTTTACGTTACAGGCTACTTATGCTCGTGCCACCTCTTGGGTGGCTTAATCTTCATCAATCACTCAATATTTTTACGAAACGGGACCGAGCGAACATGATGATAGCTGAGTAGGCATCCAGCGTTCCACCACTTGAACACCACAATACCGCCGAGGAAGTAGAACAACCACGTATATGGCACGCATGGGTCACCGCCCTCTGAGTAGGGGGGCAAGAAGGCGTATTCCTGGACAGCAGACCCATAAGGCAAACAGACGAGAGGCGCCTTTGTTTACCTCATTACCGGGAGGTAAACAGTGGCCATCCCGGCCCCACGCGGTCTGATTACAAACATCCGCTCAACCAAGGTAGAACAAATGTTCTTGATCTGAAAACTTTCATCATTTCCTTTAATGATAGTGCCCCCATGGATAGGAGTGATTTTGACAATAGGAGAACACAGAGTATCATATACAATAAAATTACCAAGATATTTACGATCAAAGTGCACGACACAAGACCAAACAAGGGAGAACCTCATTCGCAGTGGGCCACAGCCAGGAACTAGACCTTTCTGACATTACTGAATTCTGCAGAAACAAAATGAGATGCTTTGAACCATTAGGTGACAGATTAACAAAATAAATAAAACCAAACATGTCCGAGACATTTGTGAAGAAATCAAACACATCAACAAGCAGAAGACATTCCAGTCTACGGAGTTAAAAAGAGTATGCATAGAATTGAAGGAGAACTGAGTGATAGAGGTACAGCCCGACTTACCATCCTAAACTACACTCCAGGTGATCGAGTTTGGACTAATGGTTATCTCCACAAACCACAGGTATGCTTCCCACGTCCAACTCGATGCTTTAGATGTAAAGACTTTAACCCATACCAAAAAAGGATGTACAGAAAGTATTATCTGTGGAATTTGCTCAGGTACCTATTACAAAAAAACATGCAGTTCAGGCATACTTAAATGTTCAAATGTAGTGGTGACTATGACGTCTATTTCTCATCACCACCTCTGCATCTACTGAAAACAACACCACGTCTCAAGCCTTTGCCACATAATCACTGGCATGCCACGTTGATGCGTGTGCCTACATTACCACTCGTGCAGTCATCGGGAGGATGAACCCTTCATGCAAACTGCACCTACAATATAGAAGCTTTAGGGGAGAGGAGAGGCCAAGCTGGCTGTCTCTGTTTGCTCCAAATAACCCATCTGAACAAATAGCCTGGATGTGTCACAACGGAAAGGTTGATGATATTCTTGACTGATATAAGAATTTTGCACCAAGACTGTAATCTTTTGTTGAATTATCTGCATGTCTCTTGCAAATTGTCTATACAGTATACCTAGCTCATAAAAGTATTTGTGTGTACGTCTGATACCATACTACTTGTGTAAAGGAGGAAATGTATATGTTTATCTCTCAGAATGTTCGGTAATATGTTTATTGATTGTGATGTGTGTCTATGTATGTATTAACACAATGTACTGAACGGGGTGAGAATAGCTTGAGCTACCCCATCCCTTTGTGTGTATTTTACCTCAATAAACTTATTTCAATTTCAATTTCAATAACCACTTGGACTGAATGGTGGAGCAAGGGTCACTTTTCTCACAGGTCGGCATTCAATCCCCGACCGTCCAAGTGATTGGGTACCATTCCTTCCCTCCCTCCTATACAATATATCCCCCTTCTTGTATACCTTCCAAGTGCAGTATAGTCGTAATAGCTTAGTGCATTCTCCTCATAATTACCTTACCTTACTCCAAATAAACATAACAAATAATTACCACAATAAAAAATACTGCTACTTATACAGCCTATACAACTGGGCAGTCTTTTCATAAGTGTCAAGGGTTGCAATAAGTCGGAAGTAGGAAGCCTTGAGTGCCTCCGGATTCATCCCTTCATCACAACTATAACAAGAGGGGTGTGATTATAACAGGAGGGGGTGTGATTTTACGCTTATTAGTGAGGATCCCGACTCGTTCCGTAACCAATTTCCATATATCCTTTTATTTGTATTTCGGTTAAGACGTGGGATAGATACCTCCCAAACTACTGGTTAGTGAAAGCAATTACTTAAGAATTATGTAATTGCTTAAGTAATTGATAAATTACTTAAGAAGCATTATATACTTAAGGAGCATTATATACTTAAGAAGCATCATATACTTAAAGAGCAATATATACTTAAGGAGCATTATAAAATAATTAATGAGTATCAAACACCTCTGTGCCATGAAGATATTTGCGTGTATTTAATAATCATAACGTCATAGTGATGTAGATTATAACTGCAGAAGATGGAGACGCAGCCTTCTCTGCTACCTGCAGGTATCAAGTATAATGTAACCATAACATTGTGCATATCTAGGATTCCTGGGGGAGGGGAAAGGAACTATCAGCAGAAAGCGCCAAGCCATTACGACTATATAACACTTGAAGGGCATCAGGATAAGGATTTGGGATGGGAATCGGGGAAAGGAATAGTGTTCAACCACTTGAGCAATCTCCTGATTATTACCTTGGACGGTTGGGGATTGAACACTGCCCTGCATGAAGGAAGACCGTCCAGCCCAACTGGTAACATTTATACGCTTTTCTAAGTAGCTTATAAAGCCTTTCATGTTTCATATTTTGGTATCGTCAATTATATATCTAAATCAATAAGTATTCGTAAAATTTCTTACCGTCGATTAACATCTGAATTAATTGACAAGGGAAAGACGTTAATAAAAGTTGATGTGACACTAACTAATCGACGCTAAAAATGTCAGTAAAATCTCTTATCTATCTTCGTCAGCTTTCTCCGCCACTTCCCAAAGCGGTGATAAGTCTACATGTGCTTGACGTCTATAATACCAACTCACTTTTCGGTACCGTCGGAGTCCCTGTAATTGGAGCGGTAGAAACCATGGAGCTGGTCGTTGAGATAGCCTATGAACTCCATGGAGAGGATGTACTTGTGACCCTGCTGCAGCTCCTCTTCCAGATGAGCCACGTAGAACTGCCGCTCATGATCATACTCGTGTTTCTTTATATTCAAGCCAAGGCCTTCCGTGTTCCCCACAGGCACCACCTACAACACCAAAGGTCTTGCATGTTAGGGCAAGAAAGGCTGCGGTGCTCAGAAGTTAAGATTTTTCAACAATTTAAACTAGTGAAAACATTATATAACTTAAAAAAACAATGAAACAAAACCAAATGCAGTTCCTCAAAAAAACTTAATTTCTAATCTTTTACTTACTCTGGTGTGTGAAAATTAGAGATGAGATGATTATTCGGAATCGAAAAAAATTTATCATATCCTTTATCATATCCATTTCAGATCCTTAAACCGATTCTTTAACATTTAATAACAAAATTAAATTTTCAAGTTTTAAGTAATAATTAAAATTCTTTAAGTTGTGATCATAAACAATCAAGCATTATACTCTAAAGTTTCACTTTTCTACTTGGCAACTAACTTGAAAAGAAGTCATTGAAAAACGGAAAATTTGGGATAAAAAATTACCACAGAGCACAGAACATTGATAAATATATTGAAGAAATGAGAGCAGTCGACTCACAGCCTTTCCCTGTTGTAGAGGTTATTGTGTTTATAAGACTCATCGATTATAACTGCCCAAATTATCACATTCTTTCCAGAAAATAGTTAAAAGATTAAACGATGTTGTGAGTACCATGTGTCCTGTACCAACCCGCCCTCTTAAAAATAACGTCACTTTTCGCTCGTATGCGCGCTATGGCCAAATTTGGACGTAATTTGAAATGAAATCGACTCACAAAAGTGACGTACTGTTCCGTTTTCTGTTTGAGTCGTCCGGCTTACTCGGCCAGCTTAGAAAAGGATTCTTTCCATTAACGTTTTTCATACCGTTTTGAAACTTTATGAGAATTTCCTGATCACCTAACTTATCAGAGAACCCTTAACTTACTGTTGATGAAAAAAAAAAATCCCCAAATTTATATTCTTTTTTTTTTCATTTTCAAATTACGTCCATATTCCGCCATACTAGTAAACGGCCAAAAGCGACGTTCTTTTTAAGAGGCCTGAACACAGTATAGTATGTAGCGTTAGAGGCAGGATACAGGACGTTAACAGTGCTAAGAATTTGCCCATTGCTAGTAACTGCCGGGCCAGCAATCACTAGTAAATCAGTGATTTGTTGAACAATCAACTACAGTAGGTGACTGTAGTGCTTTTAAATTGCTAATCTAAACTAAATATAGAGACTTACGTCTGTCCTACATAGCCAGTGTTCAAAGTAAATTTTACATAGTATCATTAGTGTGCGTTTACACTTATGGTGCCTGGTTAACGATTCTCTTTATAACTGGAAATTTGAATTTACAGTATTTGAATACTGATTGACGAATATATATAACTACCTAGGCGAAACACCGATACAGAAGATTATTGCTGATGATGGCGTGTCTCTAAGGCCTTTATCATTTTTATTAAACAAGCTTTTATAGCCTAACGTCTTCTACAATCAAATTTATTCTCATCTCACTATACTTGTCAGTACCAGTACACTGTTGTCACTACCTGGAGGTCTCTACACTGTTGCCAGTACCTTGTGGTCTCTACACTGTTGTGAGTACCTTGTGGCCTCAACACTGTTGTTAGTAATCACTGTGGTGTCTACACTGTTGTCAGTCACTATATTGTTGTTAGTAATCACTGTGGTCTCTGACAGTCATAATATTGTGGTATCTATACAACTATACTCAGATTCACAGGATCTCATCTAATTTTAAATTTGAATTATTTTCCGCTATCAAAACGTGTAACTTTTTTACTCACTTCTCAAAGTCATATAATACATTTTATGTTTAATCACTTGATTTGTAATTTTTACTCTAGGACCCAGTGTTCGATTCTCGTGGTACAATTGAGAACGTTTGGGCAAGTTTCCTTTAACCTCATACCTTTGTCCATGGCAGTAAGTAGGTACTCCATAGTTAGGAAACTGTTGAGGGTTGCATTCTAGGAAAGGTCAGTAGTTAGCCTAGCCGGACCTCGATAAACCTAATAGACTTCCTGTCTGATAATGGTAAATGACCAAAATTTTTTATTTGTATAACCGCAAGAGGTTATAATATTTAATAATAATAATAATAATCTTAATATTATGTACTAAAACATTAAATCCTTTTGGATATCATATCATAATCAAGAGGAGTTAATAATTAAGGAGGCCTGGACAGAATATTCGTAATAAAGAACACAATAGGTGAATGTTACAGGTGTTGACACGTGTTGCATAACGAAGGGCGTTGCAATATTGTTATATCTTACAAAGTATTCACTTTGTTATATTTATTTATTCAAAAAAGTTGCAAAAACAACGTAGAAATTCAACAGCATTTCCAGGCCCAGAACTACAAGTTTCTTGTTGTGTTCTTATTGTTTCCGCTATATGATACATGTGAAGTAATATTGTAGTAAATAACAGTCTAAACTAAAATTAAATGTTTTAGCGCAGTTGTAAACAAAACAAACTCTGCAACCTACCCTGATAGTGTCATTCTTGGTGATGATGTCGGCGATGTGGAGAGTGATGTTGAGGGTGGGCTCCAACACCTCCATCTCGACCTCCACGTAGCCCAGGATGCTGAAGTTGCCGTTGATGAAGGGTTGAAGCTTGACCAGGTAGTGGAGGGGCTTCAGGGCTTTGGGAAGACGGGCGTCTATCTCTTCGAGAAATGGCGCCTCCGTGGTGATGGGGAGGGGAGATGTAGGCGCCCTTGTGCTGCTGAAACTGATGCCTGTTTTGGTCTTAGTGCCTGAGAGTCGTTTGCTGGTGGTGTTGGACCTGACGGGGGTGAGGCGCTTGGTAGAATTTGAGGTGCGTCTCCGGGCTAGCATAGGCTTGCGCTCCGTCGACTGCTGTAGAAGGACACTGACAATAGTTATTCCAGGAGTGACTCCTAAATTATTATTTATGTAAAAAGTAAATATATTAACGTATGCACAATGGCTAATATTTGACGCACCCAATAAGGAACTTTCGTGAGGTTTACGAGTTCATATTTTTTGTATAAACAACTAAACGCACACTCCCAAACGCATATATAGAAGGGTAGCCATCATAAGAAAATATAAATATTTTTTTAATTTGAAAAGTCGTTCAGAATCTTACCCGGTGGTGCCCGGGTAGAGCCGGCATTATTTCACCAAAGGCAACTCCATGAAAATTATGAAAAATAGCGATAAATAAATGGGAATTTATACGGCATTCGACCATATGGCTACACATCCCTTCTCTGTTCCTCTATTTCTATCTATGTATACCTTTATCCACCAATTCATCAATCTGTCCATCTACTTATCTATCTACCCATCCATTTTTTGTTAGATATATACAAGAGTTGTTATATTCTTGTACAGCCACTAGTACGCGTAGCGTTTCGGGCAGGTCCCTGGAATACGATCCCCGCCGCGAAGAATCGTTGTTACAACCAAGTACACATTTTACTGTTGAGTTAAACAGAGGCTACAGTTAAGGATTTGTGCCCAGTAAATCTTCCCCAGCCAGGATACGAACCCATGACAAAGCGCTCGCGGAACGCCAGGCGAGTGTCTTACCACTACACCACGGAGACGTAAAAACTAAATCTAATGGGCAAATCCATTAATCTACCATCTGCCTGTCTGTGTCTGTCTCTTATCTCCTTTATTCTCTCTCTCTCTCATAAAAATATAATTGTTTAATGTGTGGGTTGTCGTCAATGAGAGGAGCTCAGTAGTGCGAAAAACTAGAAAAAGAATAGTTACCCCTTTCTCTGGTAAAAAGCTTGTGAAGGAGTGGAAGAATCGTCTGTTTTATGTGAGTACGGGCAAGTTATTAACAGCATAAAATTTATGTTAATTTTCTCAAGATCATTGAATACTCTTGCATATTCCTATAAGGAAAAATAGTTTTAATTAGTTAGTTTTGAAAATATATAGCTGTGCCAAAAATCGTCGTGGAGATCTGAATGTGACCACTGTCACGTTGTTCGTTTTTTAATTTTGGTACCCCAGACCATTTCTTCTGCCAAATTGGGTGAGGTTAGCCCCAAGCATCTGGCCCAGCCCCTCCTCCGAATAGACAGTACGTTTTAACACTAAATGTAATAAGTACAATCCAGACTACCGGCTTAGTACATAAATACACTTAATCGCCAGAATCGCACCAAAATATTGTAAATATTAGAGTTTACCTGAAAATCTGTATAGGAAACCACGACCAAACCTAACCTTCTTCGTGTAGAACAAGCATTTTATTGCTTCTTAATTACAGTTAATTCTTAATCTATAGCTATATTGATATTATAGTTTTATAAAACTAATGAAACAAAACTAAAATCTTTCAATAAATTATAAAGTAATTCGGGATATTTTCAAATTTTGTATAAAATCTCTATTGTTTAATAAAATTAAGAAAGAAATTCTTTATATTTAAACCTTGCGTCTAAAGACTTTAATATACAAACTCCATCCTAAAATTTTGAGTGTCTTAACAGAATATGGGGAGGTAAATGTAATGGCATAATTAAGCGTATTTATGTACATGCAGACAGTAAGGAATGTACTTATTATTTAGTATTTACATATATGGGATGATTAATAAGTAGTATACTTATTATATTTAGTATTAGATCGTATTTAGCATTATTAATTCTTATTTAAGAATGTACTTATTACGTTTAGTATTAACCTCCGATTGGACAGTACGTTTATTTAGTAAACGTACTCTAATCGGAGGATGCGAATCGAATAATACAGGAGATCTCCATGTGGCGAGCCTTGAAGTGGGGACAGCTGAAGAGAAGTCGGTGAGAGGAAATGCTGAAGTTGAAGAGAAAAGTGCCAGGGCTTGACCCAGCTGCATGTCTTAAGTCGATGCTGAAAACAACCCACCATCTAGCTAGGCTGGGAGACGGGTCTGAAAGGTGTCAATGGCAGGGCTTCTTCATTCAAGGTAGAGACGTCTGTCTTCTTTCTTCTATCTTCTTCTATGTGGTGCTTCTTCTTCTATTTTTTTTCATGCTTCGTGTAGTCATTTGATGTTTCTTGTACTCAGCGTAGTCTTCGGGGAAGAGTTCGGGTTCCAGTATAGATTCATCACATTCCGTGTAGATTGTGTCGTTGTCAAGAATGCACCTCGCAGTAAACTCAGGAGGACTCTGCTTGTATTCATTGGCTTTCATGTTATATATAACGCCGGAGATCCGGCTGGAATGGTGTCACGTTGTAGCAGTAATGCATTCACTGCTGGAGAAACGATTTCCTCTTCATTCGAGGCCGGGTTTGGTGAATGTTCTATAACGTCGACAAAGGCAATAGAATCGTCATCAGAAGACAGGTGGAGGTCTGCAGAAGCATCAGGTGTAGGTTCCTGTGAAGCTGGTGTAGTCACAGGTACAACTAGAGCAGTAGATGGTTAGTCTGAAGTAGCAGTGTGCAAAGATATTGCAGGATCTGTAGCAGAAGCTGTAGCAGGTTGCAGAGGGTGGGCATCAGCAGAAAGGATATCTGCCAATGCATTTGGAGAGATGGTGATGTCAGGGGCAGAAGTAGTATTTGTGGCTGAGGTCGTAGCACTAGCGGTGGCTGAGACTGTAGTTGTGAAGAGTTCTTCAGGAACAGTAAAAGTTGGTAGACCATTGTCAGTGTATAGGATGTTTAGAATTCGTACGAATTCCTTGATGTTTGTGCCTGCAATCATTTCAGCAGTGCGGATGAGTCCCATTATAGCACTGAGATTTCTGTTGGGGAGCAGCATCTGGTGTGGTGAAGTCTGGCTTGTTGATTGACCAGAGAAGGGTTGTGGCTGCATCGATGATTGGTTGGACTGGGACCCAAGCCCCCAATTACGTGCAGACTGTGCAGAAGCTCCGCCCCCACCCGGAAGCAGAGGAAAGTTGGCGGCTTGAACGTTGAAAGTTGATGGTTCACGACGAGTAGTGTTGGCTTGCCTGGCGTCGAACATCTGTAATTCCTCACGTCTTCGAGGGCACTCGGCAGAGACGGCAGTATGGTGGCCTTGGCAGAGAAGTCATTGGTGCATTGTTTGAAGTGGTGATTCTCGGCGTACTTGCTGCACCGTTGGTCCTGAGAAGGACATTGTTTCGTAAAGTGCTCACAGCTTTAGCACTTAAAGCATTGTCGAAGCTGGTAGTAGCGTTCTTTGCTGATTTGCCGGGGTGTGCAAGCGAGGCCGAAGCACCGGAAGCCGTTGGTGGTAGCAGAAGTAGCTTCCTCAGGCGAAGTGAAGCTGACCTTCATGGTGGAGAGGTGGCTGTCCTGCACAGGGATGAATTTTACAGTGACAGCAGTCAAGGAAGGGTTCTGTTCGGTTATACTGGTGGCGACGTCGGTGGCAACTTTTTTCGAGAGGAGGGAGCTCACTCTCCAGACAAAAAACGTCCTGGCTGCGAGGTAGTGTCGTGGTGGGGTGAGGAACATGTACGCCTCCTCGAGAACAGTAAGGTTGATGGGGTCAAATAGACGTTGTACGGCCTCGCCACTGCTGAACAGCAGTTGAGGGAGTCCTTCATCATCGACGACGACATCCAATGGTGTAACAGGGCCCGGTCCCCTCTAAATCGTACCTTGATTCGGTAGATCATGGTGGCTCTTGTTGCTGCTCAATGTTTACCCTCCCGACAATGCTAGGTGCAAGAGGGCCTTGTCTAGAGGGTTGCACTTTCCTTAAGAGGTCTCCCATCTCTTACCGGTATAGTGCACCGGATCAGGGTGGGGTTTGACCTTCTAAAGCAATGTACTCTGTGTGTAAGGATGCGTTGCAGGGCCTCCAGCTTTGGACCGAAAAACAGACTGACAAATAGGACAGTATTTTATAGTATAGATTATAGATAGGGTACTTGGCGGTGACCAGATAGTTCCTATGCCCATGTCTTTTAGTATCTTCTTTATCTCACATAGTTGATGATGACATCAAGGTAAGTTATACTTCCTTCATGATATTATTAAATGGAATATCTGATAAAAGTATCTGTCAGAAACAAGCCTCAAAAAATAATTAAAATGCAATTTATTTTCAATACAACAAATAATAGGAGGTAAAGCAGCACATACGTTTTTTTATATAGTAATGAAAAAATGTGGAACTAATGTGCCAGAGCTAACGTCATGGTGGTGGTCACTGCGGCACTATGTCTTGTGGTACTTGCTTCCTTCATGCCATTCCCTACACACTGATTTCGGGCACGTTCCCAAAAGCAATTACTGTTAAGTTAAAGATTGGGTGAGGTTAGCCCAAGGATTTGGACTCCAGCCACAAACAGAAAGATAGACAGATGAAGTTTTCATGTTTATCAGAGAAAATGTATGTTTGTCCAATGTGTGAGGCTATACTATGTTATGATACAGTAATGAAAAAATGTGGAACCTACGTGCCAGAGCAAACGTCATTGTGTTGGCACTATGTCTGTTAAGTTAAAGAGTGGGTGAGGTTAGCTCAAGGATCTGGACTCCAGCCACAAACAGAAAGATTGACAGATGAAGTTTTAATGTTTATCAGAGAAAATGTATGTTTGTCCAATGTGTGAGACTAGACTATTTTATACTTTATACGATGTTATGATATAGTAATGAAAAAATGTGGAACCAACGTGCCAGAGCAAACGTTATGATGGTGGTCATTGTGGTACTTGCTTCCTTCATGCTATTTCCTACACACTGATGTCGTGCACGTTCCCAAAAGCAATTATTGTTAAGTTAAAGATTGGGTAAGGTTAGCCCAAGGATCTGGACTCCAGCCACAAACAGAAAGATTGACAGATGAAGTTTTCATGTTTATCAGAGAAAATGTATGTTTGTCCAATGTGTGAGGCTAGACTATGTTATGATATAGTAATGAAAAAATGTGGACCCAACGTGCCAGAGCAAACGTCACTGTGGCACTATGTCTGTTAAAAGCAATTACTGTAAAGTTAAAGACTGGGAGAGGTTAGCCTAAGGATCTGGACTCCAGCCACAAATAATGATAGACAGATGAAGTTTTTATGTTTATCAGAGAAAATGTATGTTTGTCCAATGTGTGAGGCTAGACTATGTTATACTTTATACTATGTTATGATATAGTAATGAAAAAATGTGGAACCTACGTGCCAGAGCAAACGTCATGTCTGTTAAGCAATTACTGTTTAGATTGGGCGAGGTTAGCCCAATGATCTGGACTCCAGCCACAAACAGAGATATTGACAGATGAAGTTTTAATGTTTATCAGAGAAAATGTATGTTTGTCCAATGTTTGAGACTAGACTATGTTATGATATATTAATGAAAAAATGTGGAACCTACGTGCCAGAGCAAACGTCATGGTGGTGGTCACTGGCTGTTAAGCAATTACTGTTAAGTTAAAGATTTGGTGAGGTTAGCCCAAGGATCTGGACTCCAGCCATAGACAGATGAAGTTTTTATGTTTATCAGAGAAAGTATTATTGTCCAATGTGTGAGGCTATACTATGTTATGATATAGTAATGACAAAATGTGGAACCTACGTGCCAGAGCAAACGTCATTGTGGTGGCACTATGTTAAACAATTACTGTTAAGTTAAAGATTGGGTGAGGTTAGCCCAAGTGTCTGAACAGAAAGATTGACAGATGAAGTTTTTATATTTATCAGAGAAACTGTATGTTTGTCCAATGTGCGAGGCTAGACTCTGCGGTTAGCCTCACGCAGCTTTCTATGGTGACTTGTGATTGTTTAGTGAGTGTCATATGGTGGTTGGGGTCGACTCCCCTGCTTTCTTAAAAGTAGGATTATTATAATAATAATATAACTAATTATTAATTATTACTCTTCCTTCTGCTTAGTCGTGAAGGAAACCGGCCCTCGGGTGAAAGGAGACTGTGACGATCTCTTTCTGGAAACCATAGGTGCGGGGCTCGTGCGGCACAAGCTCTGCTTCGGGAGGCTGGGGTCGTTCTTCTCCGGCCCTGACCACGGCGGTCTCCGGGTTTGGAGTCCCTGCGCCTTCTTTTACAAAGTTCGAGGTTACCTCCGGAACTGGAGCCCCTAGGGCAGTTCGTTCTTGCCTTCAACCTCATCCTGACAGTTCATACGACGGCGCTGGAACCAATCGTATTGGCGTTTGCCTTTCCAATGGAGACTTTTGGCGCCGTGGAGAGAGGGAACCTGTTGCTTGGGTGACAGCTTTTCCATATCAACCTACCCTGGCTTTGCAGCCTGGAGATGCCACTCCAGAGCGCAGCTCCATAGTCTCCTATGACTGATGGATGCCTACATTATCTCCTATTGTAACAACCAATGAGACCTATGAAGGTTTGACTGCCCATAGAATGCTTTTTAACTTATACTTCGTCTGTCATGGACGCTGAATCAACGTTGAGTCGTAATCGATAAAATTGATTAAACGTTGCTTCATCTTCGATAATGTCGATTGAACATTGATTCAAAATCGATAATATTGATTGAATTGTAACGTACATTTGTGTACTTATTTGGTTGATTAGATTAGTATTTTTTATATTTATTTAGTATAGTCTTGGTTACAGCAGTCGTTTTGTTGGCAGTGTATTGAAGTGTCGTAAACATTGAGACGAAAGCTGGAGCAGGGCAGAGAGCTGAGTGAAGCCGGGGTTAGAAAGCTTGAATGCAAAGGTGAGCTTGTGAAGCGTGGCGCTCTGAATGCGGGAAGAGTCGAGGAGCTGAGTGCGAGACAAGAGCGTGGAAGCTCGATGCGGCTAGAGTCTGGCTGTCTGCTCTGTGCCGAAGCTGAAGCGTCTTGTGAGAGTTGGAACTGGACACGTCCAGTGTTACATTGTTGCTGGTGAATGTTGAAGACGTGTGGTATCTCTCAAGCGTCTGTACTGAACTACTCTTGGATCTAGACGAGATTCGTTGTAGTTGTTGTTTTAGATTTAGCTACCTGAAACAAAAATGTCGTGTAGCGCAGGCTATAGTGAGCCCGTAATTGAGTTTGGTCATTCACGATAACCTTGTTACAGTGATATTTGGGTCAGAGTTTCAAATGGAGGTGGGATTTCCTCCTGTTTTTCCCATTTGTTTTTAACGGACTGGTTTTAATCTTTTGTTTTAATAACATTATCTTGGTAGCGGATATAGATGCACAATGTTCACTAGCGTGTCCCATTCTTCAACTGTTTTTTAACTATTGTAGTCGCTGTGGATTTTGCACTTAATGCAGCTGCTCTTGTTGGATGAATGTAGAATTTGATGCACAAGGCTTCAGTTGCTTCAAATTCATAACGGCCGTGACGAGGATTCGAACCTGCGTCCAAGAGCATCCCAGACGCTGCCTTAATCGACTGAGCTACGACATGGTATAAGAATTGCAACCAGAAATTCTACTGAATTTACTTGGACCCTGCAGCCTCTCCGAAACACAAACCAGGATTTTACACAATTTCCCCATGCACTCGAGCTATGTCAATAGGCTATTCTACCTCTTTGCCCTTACTTCATTACACACAGAAATCACAATAGCGTAATGTGATTTCATTATGTCATCACAATAGCACATCACGCTATTGTGATTTCTGTGTGTAATGAAGTAAGGGCGAAGAGGTAGACCAGCCTATTGACATAGCTCGAGTGCATGGGGAATTGTGTAAAATCCTGGTTTGTGTCTCGGAGAGGCTGCAGGATCCAAATAAATTAAGTAGAATTTCTGGTTGTAATTCTTATACCATGTCGTAGCTCAGTCGATTAAGGCAGCATCTGGGATGCTCTTAGACGCAGGTTCGAATCCTCGTCACAGCCCTTGTGGATTTGTTCATTTGATACATCACGCTATTGTGATTTCTGTGTGTAATTCAGTTGCTTCACATTCCAGTAAGTAGTGTAATAACGGCACATCTGCATCTGTTCCACAGATATGATACACTTTAACTATTGTTTTTTTTTTTTTACCTCTCAGAAGCACTTGTAGCCAAGTCTGAGTCTGTGTATGGCTACTGCAATGTCGCTGGATATCTTTTTGCCAGACTTGAAAGAGGAGTATCCAGAGGGCTTTTGTACCACATCGTAGTGGGTCTGCATTCCACTACTTTAGCTCTGCGGCTACTTTTGATAGTTGGGAATATTTTCTTCTTGGTTTGTTCCTTAATCTGTGAGAAACTTGGAGCTATTTTAACCTGTACAAGAGTTAAAGCAGTGGCAATTTTTGCTAGTGAGCCTGCCTTTTCATTACCATCTATACCAATGTAGCTTGGTATCCAATTTAGGATGATTGACAGCTCTAGATTGTGTGATTCTTTTGATGATAATTGATTAATGGCGATTAAGCCACCCAAGAGGTGGTTGGAAGAATGTGAGGTCGACCAGGTAGAGAGGAAAGGAAAATGAGTAAGAAAGAGAGAATGGGATAGAGGGAGGGATGGAGAGGGGTAAGGATGATAGAATGGGAGAGAGGAAGATTGGGATGGAGGGAGAGATAAAGACAAACGGTTAAAGACCCCGGGCACCACCGGGTATAATCTCCAGAGCGGGTATAATCAGGAACTCAAGAAAAATATCTGATTTTAAATATGTAAATCAAGTAAAAATACATTAGTTGAAAACATTACCTGTGTTTTAGAGAGCAAGAGTGACTCCTGATTAGGGTCCGTCCCCTGTGGCGCGTAGTAGTAGACCAGGAGCCCCGTGGCCACCAGCCCACTGACGAAGAAGACGCCCAGCAGGACGGCCACGCTTCTGCTGACGTAGCAGCCTTTGGTCTTCCCGAACGCCAAGACATGATCTGGATGATTGCCCTCCATAGCCAGCACGTCTCCGGCTCGGCGGGAGCCAGTCATCATGCGCCTGTTGCAGATGTCTGTAGAAGGTACAGAAGAGAGTGGGAAGGACAGCAGTGGCAGGCCTACTTCACTCCCTATTATGATTATAACATTACAATCATGCGTTTTATGTATTCCAACGCTCCTAGGTTACCTGCTCCCAGAATACACAACCAATAGATGAAATGATATGGTATATTAACCCCATAATGTTCTGATTGTTAACAAACTCCCTCCATATCACATGTAAAAACCAACACAGAAGTTTAACCTTCACAATGCAGTTTGCGCGTAGGATGTTACTGATACGTAAGGTTCATAGTGTCAGTGGAAATGAAGGCAACTAATGTATGGATGCTGTCTCCAGCCGCCAAAGGTCTCCAGGGGAGAGTGTGGCCATGAACAATTAAAGTCTCTCAGTGCTCACGTAACCATCATGGGAAAACCGTGTCTGCCTCCTATTCAACATGCCTTCAACTCTCAGTGCAAACTGGATTTATTTATGCATTAGTGGTAACAAAGGGTGTCTTCCTGAATGATCTGATGGAAATAATGGAGGATACAGAGGAAGTGAGTGGCAACAAGACGTCTCTGCTAACGTTAGCGATGAAGAGATGCGGTGTCCGGACACTATTCTCACTCACGACACCACAGTGATGTCCGGACACTACTCTCACAACACCACAGTGATGTCCGGACACTACTCTCACAACACCACAGTGATGTGCGGACACTACTCTCATAACACCACAGTGATATCCGGACACTACTCTCACTCACGACACCACAGTGGTGTCCGGACACTACTCTCACTCACGACACCACAGTGGTGTCCGGACACTACTCTCACTCACGACACCACAGTGGTGTCCGGACACTACTCACACAACACCACAGTGGTGTCTGGACACTACTCACACTCACAACACCACAGTGGTGTCCGGACACTACTCTCACTCACGACACCACAGTGGTGTCTGGACACTACTCACACTCACAACACCACAGTGGTGTCCGGACACTACTCTCACTCACGACACCACAGTGGTGTCCGGACACTACTCTCACTCACGACACCACAGTGGTGTCCAGACACTACTCTCACTCACGACACCACAGTGTTGTCCGGACACTACTCACACAACACCACAGTGGTGTCTGGACACTACGGTAACAGCAAGCGTCGTTCTGCTACTGTCTCTTGTTCAACCTTCCTATTATATGGCATTAATCATTGATGACTCTAAGATCAGCTATGATATTGCAGGTACTTCTACCATGAAAGGCACCAAGGGCTTCAGGCACTTGGTTCATAAGGGTCCATTCTACAGGTAATAAGGGACTACCTTCAAGAACTGACTAAGAATTGTCAACGATCTATTGATTCTCATTCATAAAGTTCTGGCCTAAGCTAATGACTGCACTCACTACTTCACATATGGAAACAAAGAAATACCAACTGCTACGAGACTCATTATTTCCATTTTCAGCAATTTCTTCCTGAAGAAGACCATGCCAGGTAACATTTACGGCGGTGAAAACTCAGGCGATGATCAAATTTAACTGCGTGACACAGCCTGGAACAGACACATGAATGAGAGGAAAACATCTAGTGCTCAGCGAAGTTGACATCTTCAGTGACTGTGAAGATCTACATACGGAACCTGCAAGCATGGCAGTCAAGAAGTTTACAGTCCTAAATCACATCGCGTACATTCTACAGGGAAGGTGCTGTCAAGCCTAATAATAAGAACAATTTATCTTCAATCACTCTCTTCGATGCCATTTCCCCATCATTTATCAAAATTCTGGACAAGTCAGAGAGCTGTGCAAAAAGGTTCGTTTCTAGTGTTGGTTGAATCTGGTTTGACTGGTCAGTACGTTAGAGCCTTCAAAACTGCAACAATGTTGGTGGTCTTACTGTTATGTATAAGGCCAATATGTTCTCAAAATTTACCACCTGGCCCAAATATTGTAGACAAGCAGAAGTTGGCAACAACAATAAAAGGCGCTCAGCCATCAGCTGTAATATTCTCAAGAACATTGCTCCATCAGCGATAATTTATTCCCAGGATGAATCCCATTTGAATTAATCAATCAATTTCTTTCTTTATTATGCACCCCATATCCATCGCGTGGGCGGTGGTGGAAAGGGTTACAGAGGCACATAATCGGTATATATCGTGTGTATATATATATATATGTATATATATATATATATATATATATATATATATATATATATATATATATATATATATATATATATATATATATATAACTGAAAACTCACACCCCAGAAGTGACTCGAACCCATACTCCCAGAAGCCACGCAACTGGTATGTACAAGACGCCTTAATCCACTTGACCATCACGACCGGACATAATGAGGTGATAGCCGAGGCTATTTGAACCACCCCACCGCCGGCACTCGGATAGTAATCTTGGGCATAGCATTTTACCAAATCACCTCATTCTTTGGGGCACACGTGAGGAACACAAATGCGAACAAGCCTGAATGGTCCCCAGGACAATACGCAACTGAAAACTCACACCCCAGAAGTGACTCGAACCCATACTCCCAGAAGCCACGCAACTGGTATGTACAAGACGCCTTAATCCACTTGACCATCACGACCGGACATAATGAGGTGATAGCCGAGGCTATTTGAACCACCCCACCGCCGGCACTCGGATAGTAATCTTGGGCATAGCATTTTACCAAATCACCTCATTCTTTGGGGCACACGTGAGGAACACAAATGCGAACAAGCCTGAATGGTCCCCAGGACAATATGCAACTGAAAACTCACACCCCAGAAGTGACTCGAACCCATACTCCCAGAAGCCACGCAACTGGTATGTACAAGACGCCTTAATCCACTTGACCATCACGACCGGACATAATGAGGTGATAGCCGAGGCTATTTGAACCACCCCACCGCCGGCACTCGGATAGTAATCTTGGGCATAGCATTTTACCAAATCACCTCATTCTTTGGGGCACACGTGAGGAACACAAATGCGAACAAGCCTGAATGGTCCCCAGGACAATATGCAACTGAAAACTCACACCCCAGAAGTGACTCGAACCCATACTCCCAGAAGCCACGCAACTGGTATATACAAGACGCCTTAATCCACTTGACCATCACGACCGGACATAATGAGGTGATAGCCGAGGCTATTTGAACCACCCCACCGCCGGCACTCGGATAGTAATCTTGGGCATAGCATTTTACCAAATCACCTCATTCTTTGGGGCACACGTGAGGAACACAAATGCGAACAAGCCTGAATGGTCCCCAGGACAATATGCAACTGAAAACTCACACCCCAGAAGTGACTCGAACCCATACTCCCAGAAGCCACGCAACTGGTATGTACAAGACGCCTTAATCCACTTGACCATCACGACCGGACATAATGAGGTGATAGCCGAGGCTATTTGAACCACCCCACCGCCGGCACTCGGATAGTAATCTTGGGCATAGCATTTTACCAAATCACCTTGGTTTTTACCAAATCACCTTGAGTTTTCAGTTGCATATTGTCCTGGGGACCATTCAGGCTTGTTCGCATTTGTGTTCCTCACGTGTGCCCCAAAGAATGAGGTGATTTGGTAAAATGCTATGCCCAAGATTACTATCCGAGTGCCGGCGGTGGGGTGGTTCAAATAGCCTCGGCTATCACCTCATTATGTCCGGTCGTGATGGTCAAGTGGATTAAGGCGTCTTGTACATACCAGTTGCGTGGCTTCTGGGAGTATGGGTTCGAGTCACTTCTGGGGTGTGAGTTTTCAGTTGCATATTGTCCTGGGGACCATTCAGGCTTGTTCGCATTTGTGTTCCTCACGTGTGCCCCAAAGAATGAGGTGATTTGGTAAAATGCTATGCCCAAGATTACTATCCGAGTGCCGGCGGTGGGGTGGTTCAAATAGCCTCGGCTATCACCTCATTATGTCCGGTCGTGATGGTCAAGTGGATTAAGGCGTCTTGTACATACCAGTTGCGTGGCTTCTGGGAGTATGGGTTCGAGTCACTTCTGGGGTGTGAGTTTTCAGTTGCATATTGTCCAGGGGACCATTCAGGCTTGTTCGCATATATATATATATATATATATATATATATATATATATATATATATATATATATATATATATATATATATATATATATATATATATATATATGTCGTACCTAGTAGCCAGAACGCACTTCTCGGCCTACTATGCAAGGCCCGATTTGCCTAATAAGCCAAGTTTTACTGAATTAATATATTTTCTCTAATTTTATTCTTATGAAATGATAAAGCTACCCATTTCATTATGTATGAGGTCAATTCTTTTTTATTGGAGTTAAAATTAACGTAGATATATGACCGAACCTAACCAACCCTACCTAACCTAACCTAACCTATCTTTATAGGTTAGGTTAGGTTAGGTAGCCGAAAAAGTTAGGTTAGGTAGTCGAAAAACAATTAATTCATGAAAACTTGGCTTATTAGGCAAATCGAGCCTTGCATAGTAGGCAGAGAAGTGCGTTCTGCCTACTAGGTACGACATATATATATATATATATATATATATATATATATATATATATATATATATATATATATATATATATATATATATATATATATAAACACACACACGAGAGAAATGAATTAAGGTTCTGGAACACAGCTGGCTCCAATTTCATTCTGTACCAAATTCACCATGAACAATTGTTAATATGCTCATTAAAAAAAATATGTTTCTCGGGTCAATGTTCAGATAAACTGATGTAGAATAACAGCTCTTAGCTTGCAGTTTCAACGAGAACATCAACACAATTTCTAATGAACTCAACTCTTAGTTTAAAAAGCTAATAATCAAAACCAAAAGAGAGAAGGGGAAGGGAACTATCAGGAGAAAGCGCCAAGTCATTACGACTACATAGCACTCGGAAGTGATCAGGATAACGATTTGAGATGGGACGGGGGGAAGGAATGGTGCCAAACCACTTGGACAGTCTAGGATTGAACGTTGACCTGCATGAAGCGAGACCGTCGCTCTACTGTCCTGCCCAATTGATCGGGTAACCAAGAGAGAGAGAGGGGGAGGGAGAGAGAGAGAGAGAGAGAGCGCGCGAGGGAGATATTATAAAAAATCGCATAAGGGTTAGCCCGGGCGGGATGAGAGGCGAGCGTCGGCATCACGCCGGAATAAAATGAGATCGAAGTGGCGTGAAAGAATGCCAAAAATGCATCAGTAAAGAATGGGGAGCCACGAGGTGTTATGAGGCGTCTTGACAGCGAGGAGGTGCTATGAGACGTCTTGAGAGCAAGGAAGTGTTATGAGGCGTCTTGACAGCGTGGAGGTGTTATAAGACATCTTGGCACGGTGTTATGAGACGTCTTGACACGGTGTTATGAGACGTCTTGACACGTCCCATAACGTCTTCCCCTTGCTCTAACAAGGGGAAGAAAGAGGAGCTCAACCAACTCATATGAATATGCAAAGGTCGACTCAGGGCATTGAAAGCTATGACCTGGAAATAACGAGCAGATGTGCTGGCTACTGAAGGCGCTGAAGGTAACCATATTGAAAAGTTCATACCCAAAACTTTTCTACAAATTAAAGGTATTGTCAGGCAACATCACCGTGACACGGTAACTGAGGAAATGAGGATAGAAGCAAAAATCAGTGAATCTGTACGATGATGCAACATGGTTGCAGCTGGCAGTACCAATCATTATGGACGAAGAGGAAGTGGCCGCGGGAGAGAATCCGTCTTGGATACAAATATCCATGAAGATTCGGAATGGAAACAACAGTTGATCAGCAGAGTTGCAGAATCTGCAGTGGGAGTGACGGACACCACCTTGACCAATATCTACGAGAATGTAAACATTTGAAAGACATTAAAAATATGTGTAGAATAATAAACCCCACATTGTTTGAGTTAGGAAAATATCATTTGTCAAATATAGATATTGTTATTAAAAACCTAACACTCTGTGACGATGTCGACACTATAAGTTGAGCTCACACGACCTCAGTTCTTTTAGGAGGGGAGTAGTGACGATGTTAACGCCATCTGTTAAGCGCACCCAACCCCATTTTCTGTTCCCCGATAAAAGGCTGTGATCTTACTGACACAGTGCAAACTGGAATCAGCAGGTCCATTGTTTATCACAATGAAATGTGTGAAGTAAAACATGTGTATGGGGCAAGTAACAAAGTCAGTAGACTAACAGATGTTGTCACAGCTCGAATAAGACTTGGCTACAAGTATCTCTGGCAGTTCGGCTTGTATAGGGATCTAAATGAAGTAAAGTGTAAAGTGTGTGGACAAAGCCAGGGACACACACTCAAACACTAAATCTTGGATTGTAGTAAAATTGAGCCATTTAGAGATAAATCTAAGCTCACGCTGTATAATGTGGCAACCTATCTTATTATCAAGGATAAAATACCTGAAATCCTTGCGCTGTATCCATATTTCGCTCCCAGTAGATAAATGACATATGAGATTAAGAAACTCATTATTGTGAAGACTAATAATAAACAGCAGCTCCCCTATGACTGTAATATCTCCATTGCTCAAACAATTATGTATTAGCGATAAGACCTACCATTAATGTATAATGACCTACTGTAAATATATAGCTCTTGAAATAAAACATTCTTTGTAACTAGCTGACATGTAACTATAAGGTGTGAAGGATAGATGAAATTGTTTATGTAATAATCTAAGATGAGTACTGATAATTAACCGCCCCCGGCGGCAACAATCAAATCAATCTTACTGACACCTGTGTAGTTTCTTTCTTACTAATCAAATTGTACTCCTCAGAAGTGATGTGGGTGGTACCTTGGTCGAAGGAGAGAAAAAAATCCTGAACTCAAGATGTGTTTCAGTGGGAACAAGTGGGCCGAGTCAGTGTAGACTGTGATTTGTCTGTGATACCTAGTGAAGTATGGGTGATTGGACCGACGTACCCAGGGATAGTCCAGAAACCTGTGTGAAAACCTGCCGGCATGTTGCTGGAGACCCCTGCCAGTGTGTTGCTGGAGACCACTACCAGTGTGTTGCTGGAGACCAATACCAGTGTGTTGCTGGAGACCAATACCAGTGTGTTGCTGGAGATCTTTGCCACTGTGGTGCTGGAGACCCCTACCAGCGTGTTGCTGGAGACCCCTGCAAGTGCGTTGCTGGAGACCCCTGCCAGTGTGTTGCTAGATACCTGCCAGCGCGTTGCTGGATACTCCTGCCAGTGTGCTGCTGGATTTATCCGGCCCTACAATAACTGCAATTTGATTCAGTGTTTTTTGGGCCAATGGGCCCTGGACACTCCCTTGAAGAAATCTAGTACTTACAAAACCGAAAAATATAAACAAATGAACATATTCACAAGGGTCATTACGAGGATTCGAACCTGCGTCCGAGAGCATTCCCAGACACTGCCTTAATCGGGTCTGGGAGGGGGATGCTCCCGGATGCAGGTTCGAATTCTCGTCACGGCCCTTGTGGATTTGTTCATTTGATGCATCACGTAGGTGTGATCTCTGTGTGTACCGAAAAATATAAATTTATCTGTAGAAAAAGTTTATGGAACTTTTTCAAATTTATAAGGAAGCTATTCGTGAGGTTGAAGATGTTAAAATGCTGCTCCAATCATAGGCTTCCAACATGATAATATTAAAAAAAATAACTGAATTAGATTATGCAGACGATGAGTCACAACAAAGTGGCTTACAAGTTGACACCCATCCCACACATCTGGAAATGAAGAACCGACGACGTTTCTGTCCATCTTTTCCATAATCAAGTCGTGTAATTGAAAAGAAGTGGAAGAGGCAGATAATTTTAAGAGAAGAGAGCGAGATGGTAAGAGACAGATGAAGGTAAGATTAAGAGAATGAAGGCAAAAAGTGTATTAAACGTTAAAAGTAAGGGAAGGAAAAAGGAAGAAGAATAGGAATAAGATATAAATAAGAACAACTTTTAAAAATATTAAGGAAAAAATAATAAAGAAAACTGCAGGAGCAAAGATGGGGAGGAGAAAAAATCTAGTAACATAAGAACAGAAAGGAAAGAGAGCTTGGCGGGGGCAAAGCTTAAATCAGATCACGTTTGTTAGAAAGGTTAGAGCATTTGAGTATGTATTGTGAAAGGGAAGAGTCAACAGCAATTAGACCAGGACTAATATTCATATTGGGTAGGTTGTGTATCAGAGATTCCGTGTTCGTTAAGTCTGTCCAACGTGCTGCCAGTGAGGTGGACAAAACAATCAGGAAATATAGACGACACCATCAGCAAGAGGAGCATTAAGAATCATCAAAGTTGCCTCTAGAGCCACTACCAGTTTAAAAGATAAATTAGTTCATTTGGAGACAGTTGGAGCCATCCAATCTGGGAGGCTCCCGACCCACGGACTCTACCACGACACCCCCAAAACAGTCAACTGTACAATTGGGCAAGCAAAGAATTAAAACCCACTTTCAAAATGAACTCTGAGATGCAGAGTAAAAGTAGGACTAGTCCTGTGTATAGTTCAGGACTGAAGTAAACGCTCAGTCTGTATACACCGAGAAATGAGCTACAGCTCTCGGTGTAAATATAATACACTACGCTACATTATATTTATGTACAAATATTATCATTGTATTGCAATATGTTGGTCCATTCAACAATACTTAGATTATGTTTAAAAATACATTTTGCTGCTTAACGTTATGTTACACTAAATTAGGCTAAATTAGTGTATTGTGCAATATTAAGCTATATTGCATCCTATTATACAATATTAGCCTAAATTAGTTTGATGTGCCGTACTGTGACGCATATTCAACACTAGAGAGGCCTCAAGTGTGAGGGAGAGATGGGTTGGGAGAGAGAGGTGGGTGAGGAGAGAAGGGTGTGTGAGAGAGAAGGGTGTGTGAGAGAGAAAGGTGTGAGGGACAGAGGGGAGTGAGAGATGTAGGAGAGTAAGGTCTGTAAGAGTGTGAGAGTATACCACTGTTTGTTTACCAACAAAAGTATGAATAACAAATATCTGTGAAAACATCACAAAGGTATGTTAAGGAGCACTAAACTTGTGGTGGACTCTCAGTCCTCAGTAAATGTTATATGATTCACACGCCAAAGGAAATATTAACACTCCCACATTATTTGGAAGACCTAATGCCATTATACCACAGGACGGAGTCGTTAGGACACGTTTACTTTCGCCAGAAGCCTCTGTTCACATTGCAATAAATTTATAACCCGGGAATTAGGCTACTGTTGCAAGTTTTTTATCTTTATTTAATATAATACAATATATGTCTCAGTCTAACTTATGCCTCTAACTTATTCCATTACCACTCGAGGGATGGGTGTGAACCCAGCCTCAGGCTATGCTTGTCAAAACATAATTTTGTTCGAAGTTAGGCCAAAGGTTAGGTGCTTGGTTTGTTGGCAATTATTTCGCATCTGCACTACTCGGGCACCTTCCAGGTGTACTTATTTTACGTAAAGACTTAGTGAACTCTTCTTAAACCAAACTGTCCTCTTGATATGATAGTATCTATTTTAACTATGTGGACGATCGTACATATAATGACGTAATGGACAAATAGAAAGTAGAAATTGGTACTATTTACTTGATAGAATCCGGAAAAATATAGCTAAAAACCAATCTTAAATATTCCTAAACCTAGTATAGTACATATATATGTACTATATTAGGCCTAGACGTATATTATGCTTAGGTTGGTTTCATTAGCATAATAAACTTTTTCGATTTCTCCAAATTCAATTCAACAAAAGTTTATTTTCTATTGGTCCATTACGTCTATATTTGCACTATCGACCACATCGTGACTACAAGTACTTTAGGAGGATACTCGGATATATTTTAGGCATCTTCGTTTAGGATTAATAAGTCCCCTACCTTGACTTTCAATACTTTAAGCGAGAACGCTTAAATGAGTTCTCATTTAAGAGAACTTTATGTTCTCCCAACATAAACTTGAGCGAGAACGCTACAAAACCCGACATAAACTTGAGCGAGAACGCTACAAAACCCAACATAAACTTGAGCGAGAACGCTACAAAACCCAACATAAACTTGAGCGAGAACGCTACAAAACCCAACATAAACTTGAGCGAGAACGCTACAAAACCCGACATAAACTTGAGCGAGAACGCTACAAAACCCAACATAAACTTGAGCGAGAACGCTACAAACCCCAACATAAACTTGAGCGAGAACGCTACAAACCCCAACATAAACTTAAGCGAGAACGCTACAAAACCCAACATAAACTTGAGCGAGAACGCTACAAAACCCAACATTAACTTGAGCGAGAACGCTACAAAACCCAACATAAACTTGAGCGAGAACGCTACAAAACCCAACATAAACTTGAGCGAGAACGCTACAAAACCTGACATAAACTTGAGCGAGAACGCTACAAAACCCAACATAAACTTGAGCGAGAACGCTACAAACCCCAACATAAACTTGAGCGAGAACGCTACAAACCCCAACATAAACTTGAGCGAGAACGCTACAAAACCCAACATAAACTTGAGCGAGAACGCTACAAAACCCAACATAAACTTGAGCGAGAACGCTACAAAACCCAACATAAACTTGAGCGAGAACGCTACAAAACCCAACATAAACTTGAGCGAGAACGCTACAAACCCCAACATAAACTTGAGCGAGAACGCTACAAACCCCAACATAAACTTGAGCGAGAACGCTACAAAACCCAACATTAACTTGAGCGAGAACGCTACAAAACCCAACATAAACTTGAGCGAGAACGCTACAAACCCCAACATAAACTTGAGCGAGAACGCTACAAACCCCAACATAAACTTGAGCGAGAACGCTACAAACCCCAACATAAACTTGAGCGAGAACGCTACAAAACCCAACATAAACTTGAGCGAGAACGCTACAAAACCCAACATAAACTTGAGCGAGAACGCTACAAAACCCAACATTAACTTGAGCGAGAACGCTACAAAACCCAACATAAACTTGAGCGAGAACGCTACAAACCCCAACTAATATCGTAAATAAATTCCATTTCCTGGGTGTTAATTAGGGAGAGAAGGTGGCCGCCGCGTCTCTTGCATTGTCCCGACAGTTTTATAAATGATCGCGCCGAGGGGAATACAAATGTGGCCATTACAGTCCTCATATGAGAGTTGCTTTTCACATTTCCCTACTGAAATATGGGTAGCGCTGTCAGTATGTGAGCTGTGACCAGTGTGTGTGAGCTGTGGCGTCAGTATGTGAGCTGTGGCGTCAGTATGTGAGCTGTGGTATCAGTGCGTGAGCTGTGGCGTCAGTGTGTGTGAGCTATGGTATCAGTGCGTGAGCTGTGGCGTCAGTGTGTGTGAGCTATGGTATCAGTGTGTGTGAGCTGTGACCAGTGTGTGTGAGCTGTGACCAGTGTGTGTGAGCTGTGGTATCAGTGTGTGAGCTGTGGCGTCAGTCTGTGAGCTGTGGTATCAGTGTGTGAGCTGTGACCAGTGTGTGTGAGCTATGGTATCAGTGTGTGTGAGCTGTGACCAGTGTGTGTGAGCTGTGGCGTCAGTGTGTGAGCTGTGGCGTCATTTTGTGAGCTGTGACGTCAGTGTGTGAGCTGCGGCGTCAGTGTGTGAGCTGTACATCAGTTAGTGAGCTTTGGCGTCAATGTGTGAGCTGTGGCGTCAGTGTGTGAGCTGTGGCGTCAATGTGTGAGCTTTGGCGTCAGTGTGTGAGCTGTGGCGTCAGTGTGTGAGCTGTGGCGTCAGTGTGTGAGCTTTGGCGTCAGTGTGTGAGCTGTGGCGTCAGTGTGTGAGCTTTGGCGTCGGTGTGTGAGCTGTGAGGTCGGTTTGCGAGCTGTGGCGTTAATATGTGAGCTGTGACGTCACTGTGTGAGCTGTGGCGTCAGTGTGTGAGCTGTGGCGTCAGTGTGTGAGCTTTGGCGTCGGTGTGTGAGCTGTGAGGTCGGTTTGCGAGCTGTGGCGTTAATATGTGAGCTGTGACGTCACTGTGTGAGCTGTGGCGTCAGTGTGTGAGCTGTGGCGTCAGTGTGTGAGCTGTGGCGTCAGTGTGTGAGCTGTGGAGTCAGTGTGTGAGCTGTGGAGTCAGTGTGTGAGCTGTGGCGTCAGTGTGTGAGCTGTGGCGTCAGTGTGTGAGCTGTGGCGTCAGTGTGTGAGCTGTGGCGTCAGTGTGTGAGCTGTGGAGTCAGTGTGTGAGCTGTGGAGTCAGTGTGTGAGCTGTGGCGTCAGTGTGTGAGCTGTGGCGTCAGTGTGTGAGCTGTGACGTCGGTGTGTGAGCTGTGGCTCTAATCAATTTGGTGAGCATTTTCTGACAAATGAACAAAGCATTAGACAATTGGCCATGTCTTACATGTCTCTGCATGCTTTCTACATTTCTTTTATGCATGTTTCATTGAATATGACAGCATATTCCGTATTAACTATTTTTCTGATTTAGGGCTTCTATCCTTCTTACTAGTTTTCTTGCATCAGGGTTCAGCTGGAAGAGGAGTACACTAAAAGTCATGTTCGTTTTCAAGGTGAAGAAAAAGAGAAGTGAAGAACTAAAAAATGTATTGCACTTATTATAAAATCGCACGACGTTTCGAACCTACATGATTCATTCTCAAGTGATAAGAAATTACGTTGTTGTTATAGATTCAGCTACTCGGAACAAGTTCCAAGTAGCACGGGCTATGGTGAGCCTGTAACTTACCTGGCACAAGAGCGGAGCCTGTAGCACAGGCTATGGTGATCCCGTAGTGGACTTATATGGCACAAGAGCGGTGCTGTGTGTGTGTGTGAGTGAGTGAAGAAATTACAAATCCCAGTAGATTTATGCCACTACAGGGTCAGGTGAAGACATAAGTGGAAAAAGGGGTTAAATAGGAACACATACAATGATTAATCAGATATAATAGGCCTATTATATTGTGTTGGCATCGTTATGTTCCGATCTTATTCTTACTCTCATGGTGAGTAGAGTAAATAGTTCCGTGATTTGGGTATTAATGGTAGGTTGTTCTATTTTTATGTGGATTGCTTCAAGAATTTGTAATCTTCTTGCATCTTGGGTTCTGTCTATTATTCAAGTATTTTTGTTCAACATTTCTCTTGTTAGGGTGATGTCATGGGCTTGTCTTATGTGATTTCTGGGGGCACCGGATTGAAGATGACAGGTCAAACGCCTCGTCAGCTTGGTCGACGTCATACCTATGTACTTAGATTGAAGATTACATCCTTCATGGGGCAGGTGTACATGTATACAACGTTTGACTGCTGTAGAGGGTTCTCCGTCGACTTCGGGCTGTTTTTTGATAAGGAGATCGGTAGTCTTCTTTGTTCTGTAGAATATGATCAGGTCTATATTTTGGTTAGGAGTAATGCTTTTTACTCCTTTACGGATTATTTCTTTCATTATTCTTTCTTCTTTTTTATGCTCACTGTGCATAGTTGATTTGTAATATAGTTTTCTTGGAGGTATTGTGGTTTCTGTACTAGATTTAGGATTGTACCATCGGTCCAGGTGTCGTCTTATAGCCGCGTTTATTTCCGTGTTGCTATAACCATTGTTCACCAATACCTGTGTTATTCTTTCAAACTCTCTACTCACGTTGCTCTATTCGGAGCAGTGGGTAAGCGCTCGACAGATATAGGCATTGAGAACGCTGGCTTTGTATCTTTGGGGGCACTCACTTTTACCGTTCAGACATAATCCTATGTTGGTGGGCTTAGTGTATACATTGGTGCTTAAAGAGGTTCCTGGTTTTTGTTATTAGTACATCCAAGAAGGGCAGACTGTTATTTTCACTATTTTCATATGTAAATCGGAGTACTGACTCTCTCTCTCTAGATGGCTTTTTAGATCAATTAGTTCGTCTGAGTCTTTTACTATGACGAATATGTCATCTACATAACGGCAGTATATAGTTGGTTTTTGTCTGCTACTGAAGACTCTGTCTTCGATGGTTCCCATATAGAAATTAGCAAACAATACTCCTAAGGGGAAGCCCATTGCTATTCCGTCTATTTGTAGATACATGTCCCCTTGCGGACTGATGAAAGGGGCTTCCTTTGTACATGTCTCGAGAAGACTCTTTAAGTTGGCTCTGGTATTCTAATTCTCGTCTCTGTATACTCTGTCCAGTATCATTTCTATGGTGGTGTCGACTGGGACGTTGGTAAACAGGGACTCGACATCCAGGGAGGCAATGATTCCATCGGGCTGTGTAGTTTTGATTAATTCTAGGAAATCTGCTGATGATTGTAGACTATAGTTGCTTGGAGTGTATGGAGTTAGGAGTTCGTTAAGTCTTTTTGCCAGGTAATAGGTTGGAGTTGGTATTTGGCTGATTATTGGGAGTAGTGGGTTACCTGATTTGTGTGTCTTAACATTGCCGTAGGCATATCCTAAGCCGTAGTCGCCTTGGAGTTTAGTGAAATGAACACTTCCTTTCTTTGCATTGATTGCAGTAATAGTTTTGTTCACTTTACGTTTAAGGTCTTCCACAGGGTTCCTCGTGATTTGTTGAAATTTGGTGTCATCACTAAGGATGTCGCTAATTTTGTTCATGTATTCTTGGGTAGGAATCAATATATATGCTGCTGTCTTGTCGGCTTTTCTTATTGTTACATCCTTCAGATTATTTTGATTTGTTTTGCTGCTTCTTTGAGTCGTGGGGTTAAGATTGTAGATGAATATGTTCCTCGTTTCTTTCCCGCTTCTGTTACTAGTGCAGCCTGAAGTGTGTCAGTAATGATGACTTTTTTGTTGTCTTCCAACTTGTGGATGTCGTCCAGAAGCATTTCAATTTCAAGGCGTTTTTTATGCTTCTTGGGTCTTGATATGAATTGGCAGTTTAGGCCAAGATTCAAGAGGTCTCGTTGGTCCTGGTTAAGATCATGAGTTGTTAGGTTTATGTAGCCATCTTTTGGATGAGGGATCTTTAACTGTCCACCATTGAGGTCTCTCTCTCTCTCTCTCTCTCTCTCTCTCTCTCTCTCTCTCTCTCTCTCTCTCTCTCTCTCTCTCTCTCTCTCTCTCTCTCTCTCTCTCTCTCTCTCTCTCTCTCTCTCTCTCTCTCTCTCTCTCTCTTTCTCTCTCTCTCTCTCTCTCTTTCTCTCTCTCTCTCTCTCTCTCTCTCCTCTCTCTCTCTCTCCTCTCTCTCTCTCTCTCTCTCTCTCTCTCTCTCTCTCTCTCTCTCTCTCTCTCTCTCTCTTCTATCTTTCTCTCTCTCTCTCTCTCTCTCTCTCTCTCTCTCTCTCTCTCTCTCTCTCTCTCTCTCTCTCTCTCTCTCTCTCTCTCTCTCTCTCTCTCTCTCTCTCTCTCTCTAACTCTCTCTTTCTCTAACTCTCTCTTTCTCTAACTCTCTCTTTCTCTAACTCTCTCTTTCTCTAACTCTCTCTTTCTCTAACTCTCTAACTCTCTCTCTCTAACTCTCTCTCTCTCTCTCTCTCTCTCTCTCTCTCTCTCTCTCTCTCCACTTGAGCTATATTGAGCTTCCCATTATGAGTTATTAGCTATTAGCTAATTAACCCTAAATATTTTTAATCTATGTTAAAACAAAAACAAACCCTTAACTAGATTCCCAATAATGTGAAGATTCTCGATCTTCACATTATTGCTAGAATCCAGTTAAAATATCATTCCCTGCATCCCAGTTGAATTCAATCCCGTTCAGAGGAGAATCACGATCCCCAGAGATCGCAGTGTGTTGGTAATGTGTAATCCCACGGGTGGGCAAGTCCCTTAATTGAAAAAGTCTCCTCTTGGTAGCGTCTTGCGGAAATAGGTTTTGAAAATTGAAGTCGTGGTGGAGCGACGCGAGGAGAAGGAGAAAAAGAAAACGGGAGACTGGGGAAAAGGGAGGTAGAGTGGAGTTGAGAAAGATTAAAGGTGGATGAGGAATATGGATAAATAGAGGGAGAGAGGGAGGAAGCAGTTATGGGCTCACTATAGCCCGTGCTACGTGGAAATTTTGCTCCGAGTAGCAGAATCCTTTAACTATATATAAAGTATTATAAAAAAAATCCTCTAAA